ATAAATCTCCAGGTATTATTTAACGTATTCTTATATTAGTAAATATCACATGTCTCACATTTAGAATTACAATTTTGATAAAAATTATATGAAAAAGAATAAAATTGTAGCCGCTAATCGATGAGGAGCTCCTTTTATTCTAAACTTTTAATTAAAATTTTCGTCGGTTTGCGTTTTTTTTCTCCTGCCGCTCAACCTTCCCTGGATTTTATATTTACATTAGAGCTGTATTGTGAGATTGAGTTTTGAAACAAAGCGAATTTTAATATTCGCTTTCTATGCATAAAGAATCCTTCATATCGAATACCTGTGCTCCCGAAGCTTTCATGGGAAAATGAAAAATCTTTATTTAACTGTAAAGCATCTCCGCAATATTTCACGGAAGCTTTTTCAATTCGGTCGCTAAACGATAAATTAATAAATTTTGATTACCTATTTCGTTTGATAATAATTATAATTACAAGAAAATGTATTCATTTAATAGATTAAATCTTTATGGTTCATTCGAAGTTAATTATAAAATAAGAATTAAAATAAAAATCATCCCTTTTTGTAAAATTTCGCGCTTAAAGTGACATCTACCAGTTAATATCGGTACTAATAAATTTTGATTTGACAAGCTAGAAAACTTGCTAATAAACTTAAAAGAATGATAGATGGCGCATTTTTTAACTTTTTACGTTTTTTGATAGTGGTTTTTATATCGTTTGTATAAAAAATACTAAAAATTTTGGGAGATTTTTAATTTGTCAAAAAAATAGGGGTTTATTTTAGTTAAATTTTCCATTTTTACGCTCCACAAAATTAAATATAATCGAAGTGAATTACCTTATTTACATCATATGGATGATTTCATATATAGACCGTGTGGCCTAATGGATAAGGCGTCGGACTTCGGATCCGAAGATTGCAGGTTCGAGTCCTGTCACGGTCGCAAATACCTTTTTTATTTTTTAAAACGTTTTGTATTTAATTTAGAATTTATTATTTATTTGATCATTTTTTTTTGCCTATTTTGATATTTTATCAATTTTGAAAACACCATGTTTATATGCAATGGGTAAAATATAGGCAACACACATTGCATGTAAATGATAGAAAATTGCCTATATCATTAGTAGACTCGATTTACCATAATCGAATAGAATCGAAATAGAATTCGATTTTCTATTCTTATATCTCGATTTCGGAACATCAAATATCCATCTAACCTAACTTTTTTGACAATTCATTGTCAGTATTTTTAAATTTTGTTGTGTTATTTAAATTTTGAAATGGTCACTTAAATGTATACAAAGTAACTTTAATGGTAAGTATTAAATACTTTTTGCTGCCTTTTTAACTAATAAATACTATGCTAACACAACTATTTAATGTATTGCCTCACAAATTTCTATTTTAAGTACTACTTATTTATTGTTTTTTTCCAATAATCGAACTTAATTAGCTGCGTTTATAATAGAGTTATTTATTTATGCCCATAAATAAATATTTGTATAAAATTAAAATATAGTCAATATTTATTTATGAATCCATTAATATATTAATAACTTATTCAAGTATTGTTATTTACAATTCTGAAATTTTTCATATGCAGACAAACTAATATTATACATTTTTATTTAGTAAAAATGTTTCAATGAAATAAATAATATGGAAAGTGATTGCATGAAATCAAAAATATTTAATAGATAATTTATAATGCATGATTGGTATTTTGTAATTTTGTATTTTGATGATATTGATAAATAATATTATCCATATTAACAAAAATCTAGTATAGAAATAAACACAATGGAATATTAGTAAAATATATCTGAAAGAGAAATTGACTGGCCTAAATTTCGATAAAAAAGTAAGGGTAGATATCTATAGACTTTTTGGCCTTGACACATTACGAGATGTTAGTATTTATTTTACTGTTCTATGCGGGCAATACGAAATCGATAAAGAATGTTGTTCAAAAGGTGGACGGAAAGAACGTTTATATTCCTAATATAATTGATAGAATAAAAAATTGATAGCAAAACATCGACGAAGCATTGTGTGCTTTTACAACGCAGGTAATCAATTTCCCTCGTACTGAAAGTGATTTTAAATTCATTAGCTTCATTAGAACTTACATACATTCAATTTGTGGCACTCTCCTCTTTCTATAGATTTTTCCACGACGATATAAATTAGTCCTTACATTAACAGATTGCGTTTTCTAGGCGTGCCACTTCGGCGTTTTATGAACCTAAAATTCGCGTTAGAAAATTTTGTTGAAATCCACTTCAGATAAATTCGGTAAATAAAATTCGGAAACTGTTGGCAATATGGTAAATGGAAATGTTTTCAGACGAGATAAAATTCATGAATTATTTAAGCGACCGCAACGGACGAAAAGGAAAATAAAATAGCGAAGTTAACAGTTTTCATGTTACAATAGAATAAATGCAACGCAACTTTCGGAAAATTCGAATTATTCATTCGTCTAGTTTGACTTTTAAATATTATTTGAAATGTTAAAAATATTAGAAGCTGGTGCAAAATAGGCGATGGAATGATAATGTAGAATCTGATTCTTATCTCACTCTTTCGTTTTAATTAACAACGTGACTTAATTCTCTAGGAAATAAAAGCAAAAATTCCGAAATGAGTCAACAGGTCTCATCTACGGTTAACGCCTTATAACGTATATTAAACGAGCTCCAGGAATAAAATTATAGTCGTAAAAAGGCCATATATCAAATTTTTGACAACCACAAACCGTAAACCGCGCTATTCGAGTAATTATCCTTTGTTCCTCGTATTTCCAGGCGAGATAATCCTTTGAATGTCGACGAGCTAAACCAGCTAAACAAATCAATTAAAATCCCTAGCGATACTTCAGCTTAATACCGAACAGAAAAAAAATCACGAGTTGCCTTTTCAAGGGCGATAACTATCGGCGTCGAACGAAAAAAGAATTATCGATCACTAATTTTAATTAACGTTGAAACGCTGTGGGCAGTTATTCTGTTAATAAAATAAATATATATTTACAAAAAAATTACATAATGGATTTTCACGCATACTATGTAAATTCTGAAATTGTTGAATGCAAAGGGCTGGTTACACCAGACATACTACATTACGAATTAATACGGTTTTGAGTAATACATTATTTACTTACAACTTCAAGTTTGTTCCTTTTTCACGTGCCGCGCCCGTTTTCCCGGAGCTAGGGAGAACCGTACGCAAACGTAGACTAAATAATTTAAAAGCCCTAGTTAACTATGCAAATTGATGTGTGAACTGTTGCGTATTCGAAAACAATGTAGGTAAGTTGTGGATTTTTGGTTTGATTTATGAAGATGTTATATATATACAGTTGATGGATGAAGTTGACAAGAGGAAAAAGAACCTTATTTTTAATTTTAAGAAGAAAAGTGGTTTTTTATAAAAAGTCCTGCTTGTCGAGGAAATAAGTTTGCCTTATTAAAGTCTGCATTCTGATGTAGAGGTTGTCGCTGAAGTAAAGAAAGTTAAAAGTGTATATAAAAGTTTCAATAATTAAATGTCCTAAATTGTTGTACTGGTTATACAAAGTTTCTGAATTATATAAATAAATGAGATACTATTATTTCCTCATTCCAAGTTTAAGAAGTAATTTTTCTTTTACAGAATATCTATAATATCTTCAGTTAAGTGGCTTTAATATCCTCAACTTGTCCAATTACTGCATTATTATTGGTCACTTATTAGTTATGCTTATAATAAAGTTAGAAATAAAGCGACCTTCATGGAAAAAATCATGATCGTAGAGTCATAAACTGAAAGTTTTTGGCGTTCATTTCCATATTATTAACCCTGCTATAGTTTCCTGGTCTCCCACTGCCACAGTTTTTCGACTGACAAGCCGTTTTCGCTCGGCGCCAGCGTCGTCGGTCTGCTATCACCGTCGTTCGATTACCCTCTCGCATCTATGTCATCCACCCCCTCGAAAAGACCCTTGTAGTTTCCCGACATTGTTCATTTCATCGATATGAATAGTTTCGCGTGGCTGTTTGTCTAGTGTCGAAACGGCAATAGGAATAACTTCGCGATCGATACGCGATGGCCAGGTAGTGGAAAACCGCCGAGGTGTCGACTATACGTGCATTCGTTTTTCCTCAGTCTGTCACGTATTTTTCGCGATTTCCAAAATGGCGACCATGTAGTTGCAGGAAGTTCGGGAAACTGTTTGTTAGGGTAGGTTTTTATTGTTCCTAGTCGATTATAAGGTAATTGGCATTGATTTTTGTATATTGTATGTGGAATTAACCTTGACTTTTATAGAAATAGGTAATATTCCATTATAATTTGTTAAATTATGCGCACTTCGTTTTATTTTTGTTAATACTAATCGATCTTGTTACTACAATCTTTTGAATTTACAGGGAATGTTAAATATGATAAAGAAATAATGAATCAATCTGGTTGAGTATTAAATACAATAAAATAATAAACGCGATCTTCGTTATTATACCGATATTGTTAATTTCATTTGTACATCTATCTCAAATAAATCATATAAATAATATTTCCTGTAATTTCCATGAAGCGATGCATGAAATTTATTACACATATTCGTTCCAAATATAAATTAAATCTAAAAGTTCAATTCTACTAATAAACATAAATCATAAATTTGTTTTTGCAAGTATGGAATAATGAGTAATTTTCACATTATTATAACGCTGAAATTTTTTAAACGTCGGGCATTGTGAACAGTTATAAAAACAACCAAGTTTTTAATATAATATTCATTAACTCTGTTCAAAAAATTAATAATTAATCGTTCCAATATTTAATAATCTACTACGTACTACAAGTAATGATTTTATTCGAACTAATTTTATTGAAATTATAGGTATTATACCAATAAAATAATTTACCGATGTCATGTTTTAGGTACATCCGCTATCCTGCGTAGTGTATAGCTTGGCGTAATTTTATTTATTTTATTTCAGTTAACATCTAGTTAAGGAAAAGTAATGGAAAAAATGGCGGAATTGAAGCATTCATTGTACTTGTCTCAGCTAAAAGCTACGCTTAAAAGGAACCTGTTGTTGAAGAAAAGGGATAAACGGAAAACGATCGCGGTAATAATTTTTCTTTATTTACCTGTAATAGTGTGTATTCGTGTATCGATTAATTACGAGAAAATTTCATTGAAAGCAAACGAAAATAACATATCACGTTTGTATGTTCGAGTTTAATTTACCGGAGGGTATTTTAGTCTTCTGACTGACGTAGGCGTTATTTTTCTAATTCGATTTTTACCCTAACTTTTGTTTGTTCCGTAATTACATACGACTATTGCACGTCACGTAACCACGAACCCCACGAATAAGGAGAAAATTCTCGTTACATGTAAGCGTCAATTAAATTCTTATAAATTTTCATTTATTCATAAGCAGTGAATAATTTCAGGAATTTGGTTCTTAGAATAGGGTAAAGTTTGTTTGACGGTGCATATTTATTTAGTGTTATAGACCTGGATATGTTTAATTTTAGGAAGTTTTACTACCTCTCTATTCATTGGCAATACTCATTGTCATCAAAATAACAATGCCAAATCCAAATTTACCCGAAATGGATACTCCCAGGGGTGAAGAAGAACTGCTGCATAGTTTCGGAAAAGTAGAATCTCATACTGTAGCTGTCGTGCCGAATACTTCTGAAGTAGTAGTACGTATTTGTTCTCCTCATAAATTCATACTCTTGATTGCATTTTTGCGCAGTATTTTCTAGAACAAATCGACAATTTGTGGAGCATGGTAAGCGATAAAAATGCATCGAGGATAAATTGGATGTTGTACGCTACAGAGAAGGATTTAATGTCCGAATACTGGCACAGGCCTAATTCTGTTCCCATAGCCGTTTTGTTCGACAACGAGGACCCTCTAGATGGACCTCTACGGTAAAATTCTTCCACCTCAACTACATCATCTATACGGTATTTTTGTAGGTATGAAATTCGTACGAATCCCTCCATAATAGGGACGCCTCCCACGTCAATTCTCTACAGTTCCCCGTTAGCGTGCAGGGATACGAACAACAAATGGTACAGTTACGCCAGAGTGATCCCGGCGATGGAAGGCGGCGACAGTTGTCCCGTCAATCAGTATTACTTTTCGGGGTTTTTGGCGCTTCAAGCGCTCATTGATTACACCAGAATCAGGGTGAGTTGCCCGCGGTCCGTGCCGAATAAATTTTCTTACTTACAATCGGATTAATCCAGATCGATACGAACGCTGACCTCAAAGTGCCTAAATTACTATTGGAGATGCTTCCTAAACCTGCCCACACCGGCAATTGGATGTTCTTGATTCGGATTGTGATACCCATCTACATGGTGATGGCGCTGTCGCAATTTATCGCTTATTTGTTGATTCTTATAGTCGGTGAAAAGGAGAAGAAGATTAAAGAAGGCATGAAAATAATGGGTCTCAAAGATTCGGTATTTTGGTAGGAAATATTCGAGTACATTTCGAATGATCTAGTACTTACAATAACGTTTGTTTTTCAGGCTTTCTTGGTTTATTATTTACGGTATATTCGTACTTTTCCTATCGGTGGTGTGCGTCGTACTTTTATACAGCCTAAAGGTGTTTACCAACACGAATTTTTTACTGATCTTTATTTTGATCGTACTGTATTGCTTTTCTATAATAATGTTCGGATTCATGATAACGCCGTTCTTTGATAAATCAGGGGTAAGTTTGGCCCAAAAGTGCGAGTTTATTAATAAAACAAATCGTTTTTCAGACTGCTGGAATTCTTAGTAACTTCATAGTGATCATAATGAGCATGTTTTATTTCGTGCAAGTGTTCCTAAAGGATTCTAATCCACTAGTTTTATGGATTCTGTCATTAATAAGTCCATCCGGATTTGCGTTGGCTATTGATAATGTAAGTATTGCAAACAATACAACTCGAAAAACATATTTATATACGAATTTCAGGCTATAGTTATGGATTTATCCGGCGAAGGAGTAAATATTAGCAACATTTGGTCCGGGCCGGGTGTTCCATTCGGTGGAAGTGTTATAATGATGGCATTAGATATTGTCCTTTATGGATTATTAGCTTACTACTTAGACAGTATCTTACCCAGTATGTATATTCGAAATAATATGAATCTTTTGTTACCAATTAATTTTTTATTTCAGGTGAGTACGGAGTGAAACGATCTCCTTTGTTCTGTTTCAAGTTGTCCTTTTGGTGCTCCAAGAAGGTGGTTGAGAAAGTACGTTTTAAACTCAATGAAACGAACAATTTTAATTTTCTACATTTTCCAGATTCCTCTTGCGAACGGTGAGAGTTCCGAACATTCGCTAAACAACACCGATTACACGTTAGACGTCGAGCCTGTACCGAGAGAAATGCGCGGAAGGGAAGCCATCAAAATCGTCGATTTATACAAAACCTTCACGGTAAAGATAAATTCTATATTGGCATTATCCCACTATGTATTTCTATTCAGCTCATCAGTTCAATGGGCTATAGGCTATTGAAATAATATAATATACGTTTATGTTTCTGTTTCTGTTTCCAGCATTGTCAAAAACCCGAAGTTAAAGCCGTCAATGGAATCAATCTGACGATTTACGAAGGCCACATAACGGCTATACTAGGTCACAATGGTGCTGGAAAAACTACTTTGTTTAATATATTAACCGGCTTAACAGCTCCTACCAGTGGTACAGCATACATTTTCGGAAACGACGTTAGGTACTTTCCTAACTTACTTATAATTCTTTTAAATCACCAAAAAATGTTTGTGCAGAGATCCCGACGACATGGATCGCATAAGAAGAATGACCGGCGTCTGTCCGCAACACGACATCCTATTCGATAATCTATCGCCGAAGGAACATTTAGAATTCTTCGCTGCCGTTAAGGGTATACACCCGTCTCTCATCGAATTCGAGGTGATGAAAACCCTCAGAGACATCGATTTGACCGACAAGGCTAACTCGTCGAGCAAACATCTGAGCGGAGGTCAAAAGAGGAAGCTCTCCATCGGTATCGCCATCATAGGAGATCCTAAAGTAACACTCATTATCGATTAATTATTGCAGCATGTAAGAGTTTAATTTTAGATTATTATATTGGATGAGCCCACTGCTGGAGTTGATCCTTATTCGCGAAGGCACATGTGGTCTGTTCTGCAAAATAAACGCCACGGAAGGGTGATTTTACTCACCACGCATTTTATGGATGAAGCAGATATTTTAGGTAATATAACAGTTTGTTTATTAGGGAATATATTCAGGTTTGTGATTATTTTTAGCGGATAGAAAAGCGGTCGTTTCGAAGGGAAGCATACGATGCTGCGGTAGTTCGTTGTTCCTGAAGAACAAATTCGGCATCGGCTACCATTTGACCTTAGTATTGGAAGGGCACTCTAAGGAACATTCGATAACGAAACTCGTCACAACGCACGTGCCCAAAGCGGAGAAGGCCCGGAGGCACGGCAGAGAGTTGAGTTTTATATTACCCTATAACGCCGTCTCGAACTTCGCTTCGTTGTTTTCCGCCATTGAACAAGAAATTAACAACAAGAGCAGTAAATTAGGTAAATAAATCGTATTGTTTCCGTATTTATTGCTTTAAAAAACGCTTGGGTGATAGGTATTTCGAGTTATGGAGTATCGATGACGACGCTGGAAGAGGTGTTCCTTCACTTGGAGCGCGACGAAGAAGCCGAAGAAGATACCGTCGATAATCTATCGAAGAAAATCGTCAGAAATAGAGCTTTGAGTCGGAGTTTAAGTTTACAAAACAAGAGTACGAGTTACCAGTCGCTTCAAAACGAAAGCAACAACGCTCTAATACCGGACGCTAAAGGTAAGTACTGGTTACAGAATTATAGTTCTTTTTTGTTACAAAACAAATTTCAAAATTTTTATGTTCTTTATTATAGAATATGTTCCTCGTCGGAGGAAGAAAGGTAAAAAAATGCTAGTTAAACGCTTTGTTTAAAGTCGGTTTTTGATAGAAAAACGCAAACATTAGAAAACTACACTTATTTAGATTAATTTAATTTGTTTAAAGCATTTAGTATCGTAATATGCAGGTGTAATATTATTTTTAGGTGCCGGTGATTTCGGCGGAAGCGATTCCTCCGCGCCCATCAAAGGCATCGGCTTGGATTCCGTCGAATGTCGACCGAACTGGTTCCAATCGTTGCTCGCGCTGCTGCGACTGCGAATTCTCCGGCTGCGACGCGACATCAAGAAGCTCTACTTCATGATATTCCTGCCCCTGGGCCTGGCGATCCTGGGCTTGTTCATCAACAGCATGGAAACGGGCCAAATTAAAACCAAATCGCTGGCGTTGAACATGACCACTTATCCCAGATTGCCGATAGCCATCTACAACGGCTCCGACGAGAATTTGGACGATTTTCTCGTCGAATTGTTAAACCTCGGCGCATCGTCGCTGGACGAATACAACGGAAACTTCTCGTCGTTGTTAAAGATAGCGCCGCATATGCTGGCTATAAACGTCAACGATTTCCTTTATCCGGATTACAGCATCACCGTGCTGTACAACGATACCGAACAACACAGTCTACCCATTGCCGTGAATCTAATCAATAACGCTTTTTATAGGTTAGTAACGCGAGAATATGCTATTATTGAGAGTTGATTACTTGTTTTTTTGTAGACTGATGAGTAGCCCGGCGTCGTTGAAAAGCGGAGATTGGAACCCGATGGAGGTTCGAGCGCAGCCTTTTCAACAAACCTCCCGAGACTTTAGCGTCGGCATGGGAACGGCTACGTTCACAATGGGAATGATATTCGCGCTGATTCCCGTCACTCTAGCCACCGATATGGTCTACGATAGAGAGGTAATAAACCTTCATCTACTAGTTAAATGTTGCATCTCTACAAACTCCACTTTCCAGATCAAAGGAAAAAATCAACTGCGAGTCAACGGCCTGTCGTTTTCGTTATACTTCATCAGCTACTTCATCGTGTTGGCGGCGTTGATGGCGTTCATGTGCGCCGTGCTGTTATTGATCGTACTGTTATTCAAAACGCCGTCGTTATCCTCCTGGCCCGCCCTAACGACCATAGGTATATTGGTGCTGGTCTACTGCCCGTCGTCGATACTGTTCAGCACCTGCGTCAGCTACATCTTCGACAAAACCGAATCGGCCCAGTCGATCATGTCGAACGTCGCGACGCTAATCGGATGGGTGCCTTTCATCATGGTGATGATACTGGACGGCAGCGCGTCGTTCACCATCCACGTCGTCATGTCGTTGCTGAACACCATGTACTTGCCGTACGCCATCATCTACTTCGTCCAGCGGGTGGACTTGGCGTGCAAAAGTAACTTCGGCTGCACGGAATTGACGTTGTACAATTACATGACGACGGAAATCGTCGTGATGTTCGTCGGTTTGATCTTGCACATACCGGTTTGGTTTTTTATACTGTTGATCGTCGATGTTAAGAAGAACGGCGGGCGGGTGAAGGACGTCTTTAAGTTTAAAAAGGTAGGGAGATTTAGTGGAATGCAGGCGTTCGGTAAATATGAAGTTGCTTTTAGAATGAATGTGATGGTTTAATCGAAGATGCGAACGAAGCTAGCGATATAGGCGAAAACGAAGATCAAGACGTCAAGGCGGAGAGGCAGAAAGTGAAGAATTTGATGAGGAATCACATTATGAATCCTCCTGTTGTTATGGTCGAGGTAAGTTAGAATAAAATCCAATTAGAATTACCCTCTACTTACTCTTCTTCTTCTTCCTCTACTTATTAATAATGCGATATTGTAGAATTTGCATAAGGAATACACCAACAAAGATACGAGATGCACTTGTTGCATGTGCTGCAAATCCGAAGAAGAGGTCGAAACTAGTAAAATAGCTGTAAAATCGCTATCTTTAGCAGTGGATGCAGGCGAAGTGTTCGGTTTACTAGGACACAACGGTGCCGGTAAAACAACTACAATGAAAATTATCACAGCTGAAGAAGCCCCGACTAGAGGACGCGTAATTACCACTACATTCTACGTTATTTTATAATACAATGTATTTATTTTAGGTGCAAATAGCGGGCAACAGCATCACATCGAACATGAACTCGGCCTTCCAATTACTGGGCTACTGTCCCCAACACGACGCCTTGTGGAAGAACATAACGGTGCGCGAACACTTAGAGGTGTACGCCTCCATAAGGGGTGTGCCTTACAACGAAATATCCCGTTTAGTCAATTTGTATCTGTCGGGTTTGCAAATCAACGAGCACGCCGACAAGCAGACCGATCAATGTTCGGGCGGGACGCGCAGGAAGCTCAGCTTCGCCATGTCGATGGTGGGCAACCCGAAAATCGTGCTGCTGGACGAGCCGAGCACCGGGATGGATCCGAGAAGCAAGCGGTTCCTGTGGGACACGGTGCTGGCCAGTTTTCAGGGCTCGAAGGGCGCCATCCTGACGACGCATTCGATGGAGGAGGCGGACGCTCTGTGCTCTCGAGTGGGCATCATGGTTAAGGGGGAGTTGAGGTGTCTCGGTTCGACGCAGCACTTGAAGAACCTGTACGGTGCCGGGTACACTTTGGAAATGAAACTGGGCGGCGGGGATTTGACGCCCACCTCCGACGCCGGCGATCGGAACGACGAACTCAGGGAATTCATCTCGTCTTTGTTCCCTGACGCCGCTTTGCTGGAGAGCTTCGCCGATAGGCTGGTTTTTAGTGTACCCCAGCAAAGTGTCCCTTCCTTGGCCAATTGTTTCACGCAATTAGAAAAGGGTAAGATAATATAACTATGTTTATTAATTATTACACAATAATATTTATGATTTATTGATTTTATTCATCAAGAAAAATTAAATGAGGTGAGAGACATTGATTTTATTTTCTAATTTCAGCTAAAGTGGAATTGAACATCGAAGAGTACAGCTTCAGTCAAACGACACTCGAACAAGTGTTTTTAAAGTTCGCCCACGAAGACGAAAACGAGGAATAATCGAATCAAATGAGAAGATAGCAAAATGAACTTATTGTCTATTGAATTGTGATCCTAACTTCTACGATGTGTGTTCGAACGCGTTCGAAATAAAATATGGGACCTTTTTTTTCTTGATAGTTTGTTGTATATTGTTTTGCGTTGAATTTGGTTCGTTGGCTGGCGTTCCGTTGCTTTTATAGAAGCAGGGCGAATGTATTTATTTAATCTTATTTATATTTTTTATTCTAGTCAGAACGGTTTTTATTGCGTTCGCTCTGCCGTGTATATTAAATAATTTATCGAAATGAAATATGTTGAAACTGTTTTGTTACCGATGCGACGATTTAATTGCTGAGTATTTTTAAGGCCTAATCCCCGTATTCAAAAGTTTTTGTTTATAACCAAATGGTTTTGTAACCAACGATTATAGATTTCCGAATTTTAAACATGACAACGTTGCTTATTTGAATCTTATTCAAGATGAAAATGAGGTTAGTGTTTTGTCATTCTTCTTCTTCTTCTTCCAAATAAGGCATCGGCTATAATATAATAATTAATTGGTTCTAGACAGTTCTGAAGCGTTTCGAATGAGTCTGTAGAGTTCTCAATGATGATGGAGCATTCTAGATGATTATAGACCGTTCTGAATAATTCTAGAGCGTTCTTAATGAGTCGAGCTTTCTAAATTGTTATAGACAGTTCTAAATGGTTCCAGAGCATTTTTACTTCTAGATAGTCCTAGATGATTCTGGGGCGTTCTAAACAGCAGAATGACAAAACCTAATCTTATTTTCATGTTGTTTAAGATTCAAATAAGCAACGTTGCCATGTTTAAAATTAAGAAATATATAATCGTTGTTTACAAAACCATTTGATTATAAAAAAACTTCTGAATAAGGGGGTAACTCTTTGATGTTTTAGTGTGACTTATCATTTTAAACAAAAAAACAAATAGTGCCTCTATTGAAAATTGTACATTATTGCTTGCATTGTATACGTTCTTTTGCAGAAACTAGATACTCTTTACTGAAAATTCGTAATTAATTAAAACTTGTTGAAAACGATTCTTAATTTACACTCTGTAACAGAGCAACTTATAGATTTGGAAATAAATATTACAATCTTGAACTGTTTTGTATATACATTCGAGGACCTTTAATACAAAACGAAAAAAATATATATTTAATAAGTAATTTTATTGTTTAATGTATAATTTACATTTTTATTACTATTTAGATAATGTCTTAATTTGTTTATCTACTGTATTTTAATAATTTACATTTTCTAAAATGGTCATTTTCCTCTATTAATTTATTGTTTAATAAACACTGCTGTTTTGTCTTCATTCTTATATTTGCTTATAAATTTTATAATTTCTTTTATCAATACTAATAGTAACTTAGGCATTTTATTTTCGTGTAAAAACCAACGTTTTCTCAAGTGGAATTCAAAAGAACTATAACATATTCTTTGTCGTAATCAGTATTGATAAATAAATGAAACCGTAGAGAACATGTATTATGTATCAAGTTCTTCTGAATCCAATGAATAAATTATTCAACCAATCACAACATTCGTAACATTGTTATTTCCATAACTCATCTTTTATATATTTATTTTATATATTTTTAATACGACATATTCCAGAATTGGCACAAGTGTAATACTTGAATAATTGAATAATTTTGGCAAATGTGTTTCATCAATCTTACATATCTAATAATGAAATATTCGACAAAAAGTTTTGATCTCAACTAATACACCGGCTCGAATCAGCAGGAGTTTATTTTTATTCCTTTGAACTTTATTGCTAAACTTTAATCAAAACTTTCTCTCCATCAAACCATAATTATCGAACAAAAATATACATTTTTTCGGGAAGATTATCAACTATTAGCTATTTGATATTTCGTTCTTTATTTATATGAGCAAACAGGATTTTCTGCTTCGTATATCACAAAACGCCGAAGAAAAATATAATCATTGGGGTGCAAGTATCAAAATATAAATATACATTTTAAATTCTGCAAACTGCCGACAGTAGAGAAACGTTTAAGTATTTACCAATTAGTAATTTAAACTTGATCAGTAACAAAAAAATCAAAAGAAGGAATATAACCTACAGGAAGATTTTTGTATAACTCAGATATTCCACTTGAAAATATCATTTCTGATCTAGTTTTAATTTACTAAAAAATCATAAAGAATATCACCGGCTTATTTCACATCCTGATCATTGTTACGACTTACGTACCTAATAGTATTTACCATAAAAGTAAATTTACTGTACAAAACTATCTACGATTAAAAAAAACGCGTGGTATTTTGCATATCATGAATCAAGGAAAATTAACAGTCATTAATACGTACTTATCACAATGGAATAAAACTAAATATCAATCGTGGTCCACTGACGAGCCCTTGACGAACCGTTTCTTCAGGAACGGCCTTCCTGCCGTTTGATCCAAACTGGCGGATCGCTTTTCCCTCATTTGTGCTGCTAGCAGTTCTATTTCCCAATTCTTGCTCGAGTTCTCGTACTCGCCGTCCGTCTCCTCAGGTTCCGAGGTCTCTGCGTTCGAATCTGTATCTAAATCATCATTTTTTATCGAGTTTTTGGGGATATTAAGGAAACTAACCGGTGGTGGAATCGATGTCCAAAACTACGTTGTGTTGAGGAAGAGAAGAAGAAGAAGACCAAGCATGAATTGGACGGGGTAGTTCTTCTAATTCTTCTTGTTCGTCATGCGATGGATCCTCCCAAGAGTGCCTTTCCTTACTAATTACTGTATCTAAAGAATCCTAAAAAATAATCTGCATGCAATCGAGTCGTCGATTGTAGTTGCTAATGGTCTTACGCTAGGGGTGATTGAATCTTCGTTGGCTTGCTCCAACTCGGAGATATGTGCTTTGAGTTGTGTGATAAGTTCGTCTTTAGACCTCATTTCTTCTTCCAGCTTCTCGAATTTTAGCTGGTATTTGCCTTGGATGTCTTGAAGGTGAGCACTCATTACTTGCTTGATGGCCATTAGTATATCCGCGAAATACTGTTGTTCATCTTCTAAAGAACCTAGCAAACATTTAAAATGTATAAAAAAGGATAATAATTAATAAATTATTATAATAGTACCTTTATGAAGTTTGACTTGGTTATTTGCCTTATTGGGCACTATCTGATTATCAGCTTCAGTTTGGTTTTTTTCATCAGGTAAATCCAAACCATTATCTAGAGGTGTGTTATAAATAAAGGGAAATAAATTTTGCGTTTCTCCTGTTAGAGTGGCACTATTAGGAGGACTTTGCAAAGTGTCTCTGTTAAAAGTCACACTTTTTGATAACTTACTGTGTCTAGCAGCGTAACCTTCGATAGTGGGAGCCCTCATTAACCTGCAATCGAAAAGAAAACCACGTTACAGATTAAAATAGATGTGAAATATCGAGGAAATTTCATTAGCGTCCGGCCGGTCCAGTTTTACAAATAAATTAGGATATTTACCGCTTGAACTCAGTCGAATCGACCTTCTCGGGCATCGCGGACTCGTTAATTTCTTTCTCTTTCGTATCTTCAGAGAGTTTCTTCAAAATTGACTTTAAATTTCTCCTTTCGGGCGTTTCGTTGGATTCGTTAGAGGAATGCAGCGGACTGGGGACCAACGGGGTAGCCAGAAAATTTTTATCCGATCGTTTCTGCTCGTGCATACTGCAACCCTCCGAATGAGACCTGGTGAGAGTGTCACTGTCAATGCTTTGATTATCTGGGATGTCCAATGAAAAGCTCCTGGTCTTCATGACCAGTTCGAGTTCTTCGAGTTTTTGCCGCTCGTTGAGGATTTTTAGCTTTTTAACGAAAGGGAGAGGACCGTATTCGGGGGATAAGTCATCGATGGATCTGCAATAATAGTTTCCAGATACAACTATTGCTGAAATACTAACGGGTGACGCTAGTGCAAACGCAGCAGGATTTGAGCGGAAGATATTTCGTGCGGTAGTGGCCTAAAGATACATATAACTAAAGGGAGGGTGCCTGGAATAATTAGTTTTGAATGTTACCTACCTAGCCTTTAAGAAGAAATTAAAATAGCTTTGAAATTATTGGTCGAATGGATAGAAAAAGTCGGTGCTTTATAGCAGGAAAAAGGGTAGAATGTAGCAGGGTGTTTCTGGCTTGGTAGATTACATATAGGTACTAGTCCAAATAGATTAGGGGTTACATACAATACTGGTAACACAAGTGCATTGGTAAGGGATAATTCATTTTCAACGTTAGTAAAGTACACTATTTTTCCTACGACCACAAAATATTTACCATCTGGGCCTTCAAATATGATTTGTAAACAATTTTTTACTAAAAACCTGTGAGATTTCGAATGTTTTTTGGAGTTTGTGTTCCTAGGAAAAATTAATTATGGGGAAGCAATTACAACAGTTTCAAATCGATTAGCGTAAAAATATATTTATCTAGCAATTAAGTTCTTTCCTATCTTAATATTAGAAGTATCGAACCTGTAGCGACAACATTTTGTGACTGATTGGTTAAATTTGAGTTTTTTCAGAAACCTTGAAAAAATATTATAACATTTAAAAAACACATCGATTTTCCACGATCAAAGGGAACCGTTTTAAGGTAATTGAAATTAACACGTTCACTGCTACAATCCAGCAAAAATGTAGATACCATAAACTCCATAAATCAAAAAAATATAATTTGCAGCGTGTGAACATGTTAATTAGATTCAAATCAGTACATAAACCTCACCTGTAATGCTTCGTCCGTCTGGTCAGAAACAAATTAGGCTTGGGCTTGGGTTTCTCGGCAGGAACGGCCACCGTCGCCGTTTCAAATTCCTCGTCCTCCTTGCCTTTACCCTCATCCGGACTCCCGTCCTTCGACGGCGGCGCCGAACTGGATTCCACCTCCTTGGAGATGGCCGCCTTCTTCAGCTTCGACCAGGGCGGCTCGTTCTTGTCGGCGCCGTCGGTTTTTTCCGCGCAACTTTTACCGTTCGTCGCGTCGTCTTCGCTCGCGTTAACACTCACACTAACGCTGACACTTTGACCGGTCGCCGGCGCTTCGATCGATTGATTATTGTCTGTGGACGGTTGCGTTGGCACTAATTTCACTAATGTAGCGTCCGAAGGGACGGCGTCCGCTTCTTTCAGAAGGGTTTCTTTCACGCTCTGGTCTCTCTCTTTGGTTCCCGTCGCTAATTTTATTCTATCTCTAAAAATATAAAGAAAATTGTTTGTTCAGCAGTTCGAAATTTAGGCGAACAAATTATGAGTAACTTTTTTATTATTGCAATTATGATGTCTCTATCATTTTGCGTTGATTGGAATAATCTGAAGAAAAAATTGATATAACTAAATAGTGCTAAAATTGGAAATGAGTTCATTTAGTTCGACTACAAAGACCTTTGCGGCATCAACTTTGTCAACGTTAATACTACCAAATGAGAAATTATGCAACGTTTGATCAATCAGGATTTCTGAGGGAGCATCTTGGTCCATTCATTACCGGCATATGGCCGCACAAACTTATTGGAATACGTAACTCGGAAACAACGACGTTTTGAAGCATTCAATTTGCGGAGCGTATGTAAGCCAGTAATGGCATCATTTATATTCAAATTTTGTGCACGTCGCATGAACTGATATATCGGATATCTGATGTCCGCGAATTAGTTGCGCCCGAATAATCGCACGTCCGTCTCTATAGGCGCATTAACGTGCACGCCAGCAATAAAATGGTGCTCTAATTATCGGTGATCGAGCGATTGTTTTCGGACTTACCTCAACGAAATTTTGTTATTGAGGAGCTTCACCGGAGCGGCCGCTTTGGCACTGACTATCGACAAAGGACCTTTCGTAGGCCCGGATATTGATGATCTTCCAGTGACGGCGTTCAGTAAAGGCGTCATTTGTTGATTTTGCGATGGTGCTGAAAGATATTATAATCGAATGTTCATTAGAGAAAAATATAACGAAATTTACGTACTTTTTCCGAGGGTCATTCCGCTAAACAACTGCCCTGTGACGCTCTTGGGAGCTGGAAGGTTGGGTTTACCTCCGGCTTTCGCTTTGTCTTCCTTGGCTTTCAGCATGAGGATGCGCTGGAGAAGAGGCAACCCGGCGCCGATGGTTTCTTCGGGAGAAGGCTCTTCGTTGATGGGAGGCGGCGATCTCACCACGGAAGACGTAGGGGATAGAACTGGCGGAGAAGTGAAGCTCTTGGCTCTCTCTTCGTTATCTTGTTTTTCTTTGAGCAACCTGCAAACTCATCGTATCGAATCGATTCGATAAAACGTTGTAGTTGTTACTTTAATCTTTGTAGAAGTGGAAGACCAGCTCCGATGGGAGACGTAACTGGTTCAGAGGCACTCGTTTCCTTCCTCTCGCTCTCGTCTTGGCTGAGATCGTGCGATTTCACTCTCGACATTCTCTTCAACGTCGCCTTGGCGTGGTTCGGCGGATGCAGCGGTTGGAGTTCCAAAGACTCCTCCGATCGCCGATGTGTTTTCGATTTCTTTAGGACGTTTCTCAAGCCCTACAAAAAGCGTTCGCGCTCAAGCGTGTAACGTAACCGCAATTTCGATTAAACTCACTTTCGCTTCGCTTTTAATCTTATCGACTAAACCCTTCTCGCCGCCGTGAAAGTGGCCGTGATGGTGGTCTTTGTGCGGCGGTTGTCTAGCCGACGCCTTCACCTCCATCAATCGCTTCCTGCCCAATGCTTGCAGGATTTCTTGCGCTTCGGGATAGTCTTTCATGGCGTTGAGGACGTCCTCGCGCGATAGCGAAAAGAGTTCCGAGTAACCCACCGAACGCACGTCCGCAGTGCGCCTGAAATACAATTACTTTGTGTATAAAAAAATTTGCATACGAATTTTACCAGCCGATCGATAAGGGGTTTGATAAGAAAACGGGAAAGTTTTTCAATTCGGCTTACTTGTTTAGTCCGTCCAAATTCAATATGCCTATTTCGCCGAAGAAATCGCCGGCTTTCATGGTCGTCAGGACCTTGCCGTGCTCGCTGATTACCTCCAAGATACCGTCGGCTATGATGAACATCTCCCTAGCAACTTCGCCTTTCCTGCATATCGAATCGCCGGGCGTGAATATGTACGCTTTCATCTTCAACACCAAGTCCCTCAGAAATTCCGGTTGGCATTCTTGAAATATAGTTACCTTAAAATAGAGAAAACGATGAAAGAACTTTACCTTACGGCGATGTGAAATTTCGTTGCGGAAATTTTTGTTAGTTGGGTATTTACTTACTTTCTTTAGTACACTTAAATTGACATGTAAGGCAAGCTCAGTTTTTAATTTATCGGGAAGCAAACCGAGAGCTGTGTTGATATCACCGCCTCCTTGTATTCGACCTCTCGACCAAGAATAGTCGTACCACCTGAGAACTCTTCGTTTCATACCGCCGGGTACCTGAAAATTGTTACAATAAATTCAGGTGAATGTATTATAACCTACTGCTTGATTCCTACACCAACTGGCCCAACTCGTAAATTCATTAAATCCTTCACCATATTTTACGAAGTTTGTGTGCTGAGTAAAGATCGTTAAAAATGAATTATACGTCCATTGGTTAATGGTACCCACACGTGAGGTGCTCACTGTTTTAGAGCTCGAACAGAAAATTTATGGACAATTTTCTTTTTATTTTCGGGCCGTTTCGGGTCGTTTATCTAGTTAGTTTTTATTACTACTAATAGTAGCTTTTACAGTTAAAGTTATCTTGCACGTACAGAGAATTATTTCAGTTAAACTACCGAATAATATACTTAGTCGGCTTCCAAACCAAATTCGCCCTTTCGCTGACACCTCCGTTTTCAACAGACAATTTTACGCGGCGACTACTATGTAAATACGAAGTAATTTAGAGTTCAGGACCTCGTCTATCCCACGACATTCACCCACGTTAATTGCACGACGACTCTATTCGATGGGAGCTTAATAATAAAAGCTTCTGTTACTAATTGTGTTCGGCCGATGCACCGTAAACTGATTATCCGCCAGTTTTCAGCGGAAACCGCTACATTCTAATTAAATTATTCACCGCAGCTTTTTAAATGGGTCTGGATCCCGTAGGTTCGAATTAAATTTATACAAATTTGCAGCAAAACCGGGCTTACCTTGTGATGTCTCATGTAAGTCTTTGCGCCGTCTAAGAGCCGCTCGAATTCTAGTCTGTTAGCATTTCTGTTAGTTATCACATTGCCAACCTGACCTGAAAAACGTTAAACAAAGATAGTTAATTTTCCTATGAACACTGAAACAATTTTTGTAATGGATATTGAAGTGTTCAAAGCACCTACAATTTTTATGCGAGTTCATAAAATCCTTTCAGATATCTACAACGTATAAGAATGCTTGGATCGATAAAGCTCAGAAAACCTATCGAATGCTAAGAACAATAAATAGCTCAATAACAATGTCGGAGAACGATCGTAACGAAACAATGAACAGGATTCGCATCGTTTTGCTCGCTTTACGATAATACCAATGCACATCAGTTATACTCAAGATTATCCCATCTGTCTGCTATACAATGCACTATACGTTTGCTAGTGACGTACAGTTGATGTATTGCCAGTATATGTGTACAACCGAATGGGTTGTGTAATCTTTAACGCCTCGTTTAAGACATATTTATTACACTTTAGCAGAATTAATTTTAGTGGCTCAGAACACCGTCCGTACCACTAATCTCGAGAATGAGATTATTGGAGTATTTTGTGAAACTTACCTACAATTGTTGCGAAAATGAAGACTCCAATTAAGTAACTTACAATGGTAAATATGTATCTGTAAAATAAAAATTTGGATCATATGTTATAGTAAAATGTTGAAGTATTTTTGATGATTGCGCGGTTTTATTTTACGAAGAAGTTAATAGCAATATTTTACGATTCAATCTAACTACCGCCTTCAAAGTTGATTCTGTAAACATCATACGAACGTTATTTTTACGATCGATGGTAATATAATATTTACATAGCTTGTATTGCAGCGGAGCGTCTTCCTTTAAATTTCAATATTAAAATAATAGGAAATTTCATGCATTCTTGAATGGCATTCAAGTTATACCGTTTTAGAATGTAACAATTCGTTGTTTTCGAACAGGCACACACACAAATACGGATAATCATTTAGCCGAATGTAAAATGAACGCGAGATTGAACAAACAAAAATCGTCAAACAATGGCAGTGGCAGGCGCTGTTCGATAACAAGAATCGCCCAAACATTTTCTTTCTTTCGACAGAAAAAGAACTATGATCGAAACTGCGACAGCAACCCTCGATCCTGCCGCTGCCAGAGTGACGACACTCGAAGGGGGTTCAGAGTATTTGGGTCAGAAACGTAGGTGCGACATTGGACACACGTACCCGTTACTGGTGTTGAACTGCAGCAGTCGAGACTTGACCCCTCTGCGCGGCAAGGACCGAGGGCCGTCCACCGAGCCCGTTTTCCTACAGAAATTCACCATTTACAAAACATTTCGAATCAAACCAACTGTTCATTAGTCCCTGCCTATAATGCGAGAACACCTCGATAGCATATTAGCAAGGTGTAATAAATTACTTGTACAAGAGAATACGTATTTTACAATGTTCAACTACTGGATAATTACTTACTCGGCATTAGTTTCCGGCGTCGGTAGATCACCGATGGTCGTTAAAGTGAGCGTTGACCAATACAACGAACCTAAATATTTTCGCGTTAACGTGGCATAGTCTCCTGGTCGATAAGGATACACCCATTCGCCCTGCATATTAATAAAATTTGATTAATTATTTGCGTTTACACTAAGTCAATTCAATCGAAGTCTATCTTAACATAGAATAAGTACGAAATAGCAAAATATCTATAAGGCAAGTTTTCGTTTTCCATTTTCCCTCTCGACAATTCTACATAAGTAAAGATAGCAATTTTCAACTGAATAAACCTAGTAGATAACTATTAATTAATCTGCGTTGTTTAATTCTAAATCTAAACTTTAAGAATATTAATTAAAAGCAAGTCTAAGCAGACGTTCTTGAATCTTGCATTAACCTAATTTAATCCGCGCATAGATAGGTAATTTACTCATCGAGTTCGTATGTGCTAAAATATTCCAACAGGAAACTTATCAACAACTTGCAGTGAGTTTAAGGGATATTTAGTTTTCGTTGGCTGAAATATTTGCTTTTACGAATTCGAATCGATAGTTTGGAAACAATTTGACGAAACTCACCCGAAAACCTTCGGCTTCCGATAATAAAAAATAGAAACATCCGAACCAATGAGCAAGTATCAAAAGAATATGAATTAGATTTATCACTCTCCATAAATTCGGCCAAACAGTTCTTGATTCTACCATGTAATAATAATTAACGGCACGGTATACCTGGTGAAATAAAATTTAGGCATTAATAAGGTGTGATTAGGAATTGCATCGCGATCGAACCTTTAAAAATCTTGGACATCTGAGTAACGGATGCCATCCTAATCTAAATTGGAGGAGATCGAGTGGACATAAAGCTGCCAAGTCCAGCAAAAAGGCACGAGAGCGTAAGTAGTGACAGGATAATTTTTTCGAATCGTACACCATCAGTCCTTGTTCCAAATATCCGGTCCGAAGCTGTACGGCCAGGTCCAAAATGAACACCAAATCACTCATGGAATCACAGGTTAGCCAAAAACTCGAAATCATTTCCTGCAAACACAATAATTACATAATATGCTAGTACCTACAGAGGTACAGAAACTGTTAAAATCATTATTGTAACGAATAAATAATAATATGAAGGAATAACTCTGTAGGGAATATCAAGAACAAATACAAATAAGAATTATTGGTCAACAGAAATTTCCATATTCATGAAAAAATTGCGTATTTACACCCGTTACTAATCCGCTTTGCCAACGGTTCGTGTAGGTATTAATTAGTTTACATTGCAGTTTTTTTAGTCGGTATTTCCATGTTTTCACTGAAAGTACGTGATAAAAAATTCAAAAAAATATCGTCGGGGTTTTTTAATCGATACAGTATGATCCTGAATGTATTCTAGTGCACTTCAGAAACAGAATGATTTAATTAGTTTACCTTGGTAAACTAAAATTTGACTCACCTGCAGTTCAGGAAAACTTTCACGCACAATTAACGTCCACAGATTATACAAAACACACACTGTTAAAACTAGTAACCAATAAAAATAAAAGTTCGAATCGGGATTAATGACTGTCCTAGGTTGTTTACGTAGCCGCCGACGCCTTCGCGGAGCCGAGTGGTTGTCGCCTGCAACAAATCGACGTTAAAATACCTATCCTGCAGTTCCGCAACGCTCATCGTCTCAATTAAAAGTAACAAAATTTAATCAACATCAGGCACGTTTTTCAGTTATTAACTTGTATAGTAATAGAAGTATGTCGCAGTGCCCGAGGTATGAATTTTAATTAAAGATACCTGCAGTACCTCCTTCGCTTCCGGTGTCCTCCACAGTTTCCTGCGTCTCCGGTATCTGCCTCGTTGAAAACCGTTGTAAAAAAGAGTCCTCTCGCTTCAAGGGGGGTTTCTGGAAACGATATTTTTCTTTGACTTTTTTATTACACAGGAAGCGACCGGTGAACAAGTATTGAGATTAACGATGTTCGCAAACTTCTAATGATTAATGATCCATGATTTTAATAACGGTAAGATGTTCGAGAACGTACGTGTTGTCGACAGTAATAATAAGACCAATAAAAATCATGTTATAACATTGATTATGTCTATTGATTTCAATCCATTTCCTCTGGCCAATTTTTTTCTGATTCATTTGCGTCATTAATAAATCATTTAAAAAATATCGGCAACGTCTCGATGAAACAAGGTCTTCATAAGAAAGGAGAGAAAAAGCATAAATCCGGATGGAACAGTTTCGGGAAAAATCGTTCGGAGTTGCGATAAGTCTTTGCGAAAAATACCATCGAAGGAGAGGAAATGTTTATTGTCTATGTAGGTAGCCGAAAAGCGCAATAGTAAAAACTCGAATTCGACTAGCTAGTAGATATAAAACGGCTACAATGTTGTGTTTTTTTTTTCAATGGAAAACTTTCCTCCTTCGTTTTATGTAGATACTTTTTAAACGTAAGTTACGAATACGCCGCGAACAGAAAACATAATAAATACTTCCTGATTATACAAACTTACTATTTAGGGAGTTGCTTTATGGTGATCGATTTTCCGTATAACAGGCACTTTTATTTTAAAAATACTTTTGGTACCTCCAATCATTATACATGCGTTTAGTATTGTTTCGAATAAAAAAGGTCATAGTCAATACGCATTCGTATTCAAGAAGCACTTGTCACGAACAAAAAATAATCATAAAGGCAATAAACCAAAGACATAAACGTGAAATTTCATTTTACGAGGAAAACGGGAAATATCAAGACGTTCGCGGAATAAATGCGATATAAGATTTAATGAATTCTACTGTTCAGTTTGAGATAATTACATTTTAGTATTTTAATGTTATTTCTTATATTAATGTTAATTAGCAAATTCAGTAAACAGTAATAGTAACAAGACAAGAGATTTTGAAACAATTTCTTTAAAAGTGGATGAATCTGTGAATGCTGGGTCGTTAAGAGTTGCAAATTGTACGAATTGCCTATTGTAAATATGCTATATTCTTGGAATGGAGGTAATAAATTTGACGTACGCTTTCAGTAGTTACGCTCAACATAGTTAATATTTAATAAAATGAAAAAAGGAATATGAGTTAGGTGAAAATTCTGCGATGTTTTTGTGAATTTATTTTACCTTCGCTGATATCGCTGACGAAATTTGCACAGTAGTCCGTAATTTCATCCATCGCTGGTTCGATTTAGTCCTGTAAGGAAAAAGAAATATTAAATTAAAATTTTTGCCGAGGACTAAAGGAGTCGATACCAAAATGCAGAAGTTCACTGTACTTTAAACATCCATATCAGTATAATACTCAGTAACAGTTGATAATAGAGACAAAAAGAAAATAATAGTTACAGGTCAAGAATGCGTTCTATTACGACAAAACAGAGTCGAATATAAATGATAGAACAAAGTGTAGACTCTGTTGTTCCAAAACAGATAACGGTAAGTTGTATTTTGCATATATTCGACGGTTTTTACTATGTTATACTAAACTAATTTCTAATTTTTATAACCAATTGGTGCACACAACTTTGTTTATTTTAGTGCATTTTGTTTCAGTAACTATTTCATTTATTTCAAACATTTTTCTGGTAACAAATGGATAAATAGCGAATGTTTTGAATAGAAATTAATAAATGAAATAATCTGGTACAAAATTGCCTAAAATTTTAATGCCTTTTTACCAATATACAAAGTTGTTAAATTTACTGAACAAACAGGCAAAAATGTGACTAATCTGTATCGCTAGTCTAAATGTATGCTAAAATATCTACTCAATCACTCCATGCAAAATACAACCGCTATTTTCTACCCTAAACACTGTTTTCCAGTATTAGAAAAATCATACAGGGTCATTATTAATACCTAATTTAATGCCCTGTATATAAGGAAATGTAAAATGTATTATATAAAAGAATACTACCAATAATTGTTAGTTAAATACACAGGTTTAGAGTAGCCAACGAACAATTACAACATCGAATAGAGTTTACGAAATGAGTTTACTACGTATAGAGAACACTCGAAGATGAGACCATCAAAAAAGTACACGATAAACAACACCATAATTTATAGAAATCTTTACGAGAGAAGATCGTTATAATGACTCGTTAACAGTTAAAAAAATTACAAAAGTTAGTGCTTTATAGTTCAGAAACCTCTTGATCTTTCTCAGCGAATGGTAGTACGTCATGACGGCTCGTAAATTTTTCCAACTTTGCGTGGCGACCTTCGTCGATTCTCTTCGATCGTTCGCAGTCGATTGGTAATTTCTGAAAAGATTCTATAGCTAATTCTAATGGTTGATTAGTTAAAGCTAGTTTTATTTACAGCATTTGAATATTTACATACTCTCAGTCTTCTTTATGTCAATCTAAAATACAAAGTACCTACAAAAGCACGTACCTATGCGTAGATACAAGTACCAGTACTAGGAATTCGCCAGGAATATTTTATTTAGAAGTATCGATTGCTCATTTATTGCTCATAAGTAACTAATGAAGAATTTTTAATCTATATGTAATTTTGCTGTTAGTATTGAGAAACATTTTTCTGACACTTTAGTGTAATAAATAAGCAACAAAAATTGTTCCAATTAGTTTGTTTAAATAAATAATGCATGTTTAAATAAAAGGTTTTGAAACAATTTTCTTTCTATAAATACATACTATATTTATCACTTACAATAGTTAACAGGGATACAATTTTATCCAACTTCCCTAACGTGGAAATAGAATTTCTAATTTAATTATTGGCTTCACTAATCAAATTTAATAAGATGAATCCTTGAATAAATTCAGTACCTACGTGAATTTCATATTGTTTGGATGTAAATTGACTCTAAAAACATATTTTTGAAAGGAAATACTTATTGTCAACTTTTACCTATTCCTAATGTAAAAAAAGGTTGAAAGGTATAAGGGCGGGTGACACTTATGAGTAGACCAGCTGTCGATATTTTTTATAAGGTCTCGTAAAAAAGCACTCGCAAAAAAATTCACAATTCGCTAGAATTTTTTCCTGGTGAACGGCAATAAAAACGTTTCGTTATTTCTCTTACTTTTCTGCGTATGTGTTATACTTATCCTGAAACAAGTGTAAAAAATTCACTTTCCCTATGCGAGTAGATAACGTGGATATTTTTCATACCCTTAGGAATAAGGGGCGCTTTCTGGGCACCGAATTAAACTGTAAAAAGGTAACTTTGGGAGGTTGCAGGATAATAAATTGATAAACTTGGAGTTACGCAAAATTAACCTTCGATAAAATAAAGAATTCCGCAAAACTTCAGTACATTATTAATTTGGTAGGAGAGTATAAGGTATACGAAGTAATTTACAGCGAAACTGTTCTAAACTGTTGGTGCAAGAGCCATGTAGAAATAGAATTATTACAGTAATATCCTCTCAACTTCTAAAATCAATGAATTATCCATCTTGTAGCCGGTAAACAAAACCGTATTTTACGAACCGTATTACCGGCGATACGTTTTATTATTTTCATTATTTGTTCGCCACTTTTTAATCCAGATGATATCCTATCAATCTATTAAAAAAAAATTATAACTGCGTATTAATAAACGACATATCAAGTGAATTTTGAATCTAAAAACCTCACCTTTGGCTGGGACTCTTGCAATCCGATTCGTTCGCATTCGAACTGTCGTCCTCGTCGCGGCTGGTGTTCAACGATTTCGGCGACTGCAAGGGTGTATTCGCATCGTCCGAACTACCCTCGTCCACTCCGACACCGGCCACCATCAAATGTCCGCCCGTGCCGCCGCCGTCTCCTCCGCCATGCTGCCCGCCGGCCGCTCCGCCACCACCACCCACCGTCGCGCCTCCGACGCCGCTCGGAGGGTCAATCTGCAACAAAAAAACAAACAAATCGTTACTAAATATGAAGTTTGCTCAGTTCCTTATCAAGTTCCTGGTTCGAGCAAGATGACAAATAGCTACATAAAAAGATTATTTGCTCTCGAGGAAGACCATTAAGCCGGAAAATACATCGTGCGATGCGGCGCACAGAAGCTCTCCATTGTGTGGAGCCATCAATCATATATTGATGAAGTGCAGTTGTAACGGTAAGTCGATGAGTTTTCGTCGCGCCCGGTAAGAAACGCGCCGGAGATCGATTTTCAATTTGGCCGCGTTTTCGGGCCATTGAATTGCCGGTCGCCGATGCATCGGGAATTAAGACGGGCAATTCGTTTGATTGGTATTCGCGTTGCAATTCCGAATCGGTCGATTAGAGTAGCGAGAAAAATTATGCGAACTGCTGAATAATTTCGCCGAGGCGCAGCGAATGTGGACGATATCGCTGAATATCAGCCGGGGTTTTTATTCACTGCGAACGCACAAACGCCTTTATTGTTATAAGGCCGAAGTTTCCGCGAGTCGATAAAATCCCAATAAGATTAAATTATGCGATAAAGGATTCGGAGGTCCCTGGAGAAGCGGCGCGTGTTGAAATGACATAATTAAAGGAAAAGTGAACGGGCCCAAATAGTTTCTACTCGATTGTAACCGACTCGATTACGGATATTGCTTCGATTCCGGTGCGAATTAACTAAGAAGCTAACCCGAATTTAAAGTGGACGTTTCAAAAATCAAATAGACGATAAACAATACGAATGTACTTTTAGTGCCCGGTTGTGCATGCATGCAGACAACATTTAACCACGCAATCAATGTGTATATCTAAAACCGGCACATAAAGGGTTGCCTGCGGGGAAATATCCATTAGTGTCCTTTAGGAAACAACCAAACCCGACCGAAACTAATTAATCGTTTACTATAGTTTCAACTAGTAAGTGCATTTGATATGATGGAAATGCTATTAACAGTTTAAGAAAATTACGAATCATAATAATTGCGATTTTATAAGTATATAAACCGATTTGTTTCGGAATCCCCGATCGCATCAGAAAGTTTCTTCTTTCAATATACCAATTTAAAACGGTATCATCAATTCTTTCAATATTTACGAATCATCAGAAACGTCGAATTGCTCCTCGTCGCTTCATTTTTCCCTCTCGACGCGAACAAATCTTCAAACACAGCCTAACAAAACTTTTTCAGAGCCGTGTCGAACAATCTCCGAATGACCAAAAGAACGAAATTGCCCTCGATTTGAGCCATTGTTCCGTTGTTTGAAGAGTTCCGAATCGAACAGGGAACGGCCTCGAATCAACCGGAATTAAATTTCGCTCAGGATTCAGTGGAATACTTTAAAAAGCTCGAGAATGGATCCGGGGACCTACCAAAAATGTATGTAATTGAATAAATAAATGGCTGAATTAATTTTCGAAAAAGTTCGAACTCATCGTGATCTATCTCGAGTTTTGGGGTCATCATATTTTCCATTTCCGGAGCATAGGAATTACTTCTTGCTTTCCCTAATATTTTAATGTCACCTTGATAAGTGTTACTCCGGGCTAACAAGAAAGTTGAGTAGCATTTCAGGTCAAACTTTAAACTCTAACATGACCCATTTTCAATCAGGCTACCAAAACATATTATTATCAATCAGATTTCAGCATAATTTATATCCTTAATACACTCAATAGAAACACATAATTTTGATGCAAACATAAACAAGATTGAATGATCATTAAATTAGAACATACCCGAGTAAAAAATCATAATATTAACATTCTATACCCTTCAAGACCTATCTGTATTCAACACAGAAGATGAAGCATCAATGTAAAGTATGCATTTGTAATGAGGCGATAAACTGGAAATCGATGCAGAGCTAAATCCGACGAGCTGTCTCTATTTTCGGGAGTCAGCAGAGTGTTCCCTATTCGACTTCATTAACATTTCAAACGGGCTTACGGGTTCAAAGAGCGGGCCCGAATGATTTTTTCATTATTAATAAGAATCTACAGCCAATTAAGAAGAGTGTAGAAAAAAAGTGAAATTAAAGTGAAATAAAAACGCGATTTTGTTATTAATTGGAAGGATAGCACATCCGCTTAAACGCCAAACTTTTCACGTAAACAGAGGGATGCGAATTCCGCTTTGGCGTTTTTTGAAATATGATTGAATCAATTACAAAGGGATTACTGCTGTTTCGCGTGTCGAACATCAGCTACCTATTTTTCGAAAAAGCGGGTACATTCCAAAGTGGGGAAAGCTCCAGCACGTTTTTAGTTCGTCGAAGTTCAAAAGGAACGGTAATAGATTGCGTTAGAAGGAAATAAAAAAAAAGTTTTCGTCAGATCTGGCCTAATTGGTGTTTTATATGAGTGGGCGGAAAATTCGCCATTAGAATCAAGAAAGTTTCAATTTTAGTAAAGTCGCTTACAAAGAGTTTGGAAAAATATGTTTCCGAAAAAAAAATAAAGCACTTACCGCATTATATTTTTTTATTAACAACTTTTAATAAAAGCTATAATCGCTTTATTACTAGATAACGAATGAAAAAGAATCTTTTATTGCTTTCTAAAGGGCTGCTTTTTATTTTCACCATCGTTCTAGAACTACCTTAAATTATTGAGAGATTCGTATTGATCCGTATACGGATAGACAGAGAACTTCGAAATTAAAATTTTATTTCAACAAAGTTCTAATTTCGACTGCTTCCGCTTCGTTGCTATATAATTCGTTTTCCCCAAAAAACTAAAAGTATAGAAGTTCAGAGAACGAAGAAATTGTAAATAATTTCCGCTAAATCCGTACGCAGTTAAACCGGCTATTTTTTTAAACTGGAACACTCCCTTCTGCGATAAGAAAATAATGTGCACTTCCCGATAGGGGACAAAAGCACAAAAGCCGGGAAGATATTGACCTTTACACTCGATGGTTCATAATCGAGAGTTGTCGCTTATTTTCTATTATATGTTGCACAGAGGAGTCGTTACATCTAACGAGCCAATAAAATTTCCAGAGATTTTTTCGTGTAAGGATATAAATTGCCCGTTGAACCGACCCTAAAACGCCAAAAATGAGATTCAATGAGGATAAGGGCTAGCTAATACTCTAGGTATTTTCAAAATAGTGTCAAAAAAGCTTAGTTAATCAACTCAAGTAAATTTATATGAGAAAAAATATTTGATATGATAAAAGTTATGTGCATAAATTTAACTGACATTAATCCATTATAAGAATATGTAACTGCATTTTTTACACCGACTTTTACCTAATATGTATTTATGACAAAAGTAGCCAGTAATAAAACTCGAAAAATTTATGGCTCTAATAATGTAGGAAGTAGATGTACGGCGTGGGTGTATCACAAAACAGTGTAAATAGCATTTTAAGCCAGAATACACACTATACTACTTATTTAAGTAAAGCCGTGTTACCTTTCGTTATAATGAAAGTAATACATAGTAGCAAACTTGAATGAGATAATTCCAGTTTTAATAATGTCGACAAACTTGATCAATAGGGAACGAAAAATTGTAATTCCTACGCAGTTGTGTGAGATAATCCACAGCGTATCGATGTCAACAATGTATGATAGAAAGGATAATAGAGGAATAGGTAGGTAAATCTAATTGAATTATGGAATCATGAAGCGTTAATTATTGATTTTTATAAGATATGAAGAGAACACTTACAAATGCGTCAATTTGTAAGGATACATTCTAACTTTTATTCATTACTTTCAGTTTGTTAAACAAGGTACAATACAGGTGCTATCATAAGAAATTCCTAAAATAATTCCATTGTCATCCTCGCGATTTTCCTGTTCGATAAAAATCACCTTATCATCGAGAATATTTATTTATTCAAAAATATTCGGAATCCAATTCGCCTCTTTTCGGCAACGCGCAAGAAAAAGTCTAATTATGCACCCTTCAAACCTCTGTTTTCTATTTTCTCCGTTCCCGTTCTCTCGCTCACTTCCTTCGCGGCGACGTTTTTCTCCGATTTTTTCGCTCAGAGATGACATTGAAAAATTGAATTTTAAAATATATCCGATTCGCCATTAACGTCTTTTCTTTCCGGCCTCCAGAAATTCCAATTTAATTCATTAGATTAGGGTTTTTAAAGACTATAAACCGGATTATTATTGTTATGATACTAGATCATCCCCGATAGATTTTATAGTATGAATTCAATGCATAATTTCGAATTCAAAATCTTTATCGTCCAATTCCGGTAGGTACGGGCATACAGAATATGATTTGGTATTCGATCCAACAACAAATTGAATTTGACAAGGATGTGTATATTCGAGAGTATCAAAGAGCAAGGGTTCATAAACAGGACTGGAGCAGCAGGAATCAATTGCAAGATCATCAAAGAAATAAGGTCGGGTAGTAAGTTGATTAAGTAAATATCTATTAGGTAATCTATACATATAAACTATTCTAATATGAATGATTACATTTTTAAAACGAGCAAAGTTAATATCTAATTTAACAAGATAAACAGTAATAAATAGGCACAAAGTGTAGGTTAATTGATAATTACCATTTTCACATTTTGAAGAGAATCTAAAAAAATTGTTTTTAACCTCGTTAATGTAACAACATTATAAAGTACTGCTGAATATTGCAAACAAGAGTTTTACCGTTGATTGAATTTGTCATGATAATGAGTTTTAGTAGGGCTACCGTTTGAATTTTCACAATGGGTTGAATAAAGTCAAAAGAGCAAATATAATATGCAAATATCAGCTAATCTAATTTTTCAGCATGCATGCACTACCAATTTGAACAATCAATAATTTAACAAGCAAAATACCTTTAATCGAAATCCTAGTATGTTTGTTATCATCGATTTACAAAAATTGTCTTTCGTAGCAAAGCAGTTAGAACGCTTTGAAAACGTTAGTATTGCTTTAATATCGCGTAATTTTATTACCAATAGCCTCAAGTTACTACGTAATATAAGCAAATAAACTATTTTCAAATCTACTCAAAAGTTTCTATACGCGAAATAGCTTAAAATTCAATTAATAAACAATCGGATCCTGCATGTTCTGCGAAAATTTCCACCTCTGATCCGCGCATGTTGGAGCACTTCGACAGTTAGGGGTGTGTAAATCAAGTTTCCCACGTACGAATACTCCGGTATCCACCGGAATTTTATTTGTTTCGCAAAATCGATAGGCGAAAGCTGAAGATAGAATGTCACAATAGGAAAAATACAGCAATTTGTCTATATAAAACATATATCGGAGCCAAAAGTTTTAGATGATTTAAACATATCATGTGACAGTCTAGTGGTACATCAAACTGTATTAGCAGATAATTAACTAACAAAAAGGGAATTTTAAATTATTTTTGGTATAAAGTTAATTAAAACTTTTATAAACTCTAATTGGCTTAAATGTGAACATCCTCAATTTTTGTTCTCCTAATTCGTTAAAAATTAATTTACATTTTTAAAGGGCCTTAACAAAAAGAGATTTTCAGGTAGAAAGGTCCGCCTAAATTGAATTTCGAATTATTACAATAAATCTCCGGCTATGTAACACAAAAACCCCTCTATACAAAATGCCCCATGGATGTATTTCGTACATTTCGAATTCAATTCGACGGCATTTAAGATGGCTTCGGGTTATCATCGTCGACCCTCAAATAAGAGAAATCTCATCGTTCAGCACGCCACAGCGCCTGGAGATTATCTTTTTACTCTCCATATTCGTGATTTAAAGCTTTCGTGTCATTTTGTTGCGTTACGGGAAAAATGGAACAAAATGAATTATGAAATGTTTATTTTCCGATGTAATTTCCATTTGAAATTGTCTGTATCAATCGTTTTTTGATTGAACTCAATTACGTTTCGAGAATTTTTTTGAACGTTTCTCATCAACTTCAGGCAGATAAATTACAATGTATGAGGCGTTATGCAGTAATTGCCAAAGTTTCATTAATTTCCACTACCGATGCTGCGAGGTCGAGAAAAGTTGGGTAAGTAACGTAGATTGCACATTCACCTGGAATATTACATCAAATTATAATCTCTTGACTGCAACCTTAAGATATTCATGATGAAAATTACCTAAATGTTGAAGTCGATATACATGTAAATTTTAATTTTTATTAAGAAACGTTACTCCATTATCGTAGTATCTTTAAAATGACACATTAAATAGGTATCAGTTTCTTGTAAACACGTTGATCACTTCTTGTTTGTCTATCCCAACCCTCGACTCTATAATCTATGCGCATCCGGAGACCGTACGGATTATTTTTAATTAATTCCGAACGGGCTCGATTCGCTTTTAACGAGATTCTTTTCGAATCCTCTTTTATTTGACGTTCGAACACGTGCCATATCTATCTGGTTATTTGTCAAAGCGGAAAAGTGGGAAATTCGATTAGCTTAGGCTCGTCGAAGAACTGCTGGAGTAAGTGAATCATACTCGATTGTGTAGCGGAGAGCCATCGATGTTGCCATAAAATATCGTTATTGTTTGGCCGGTAGATTTGTTTCGTTTTCGGTGCGATTTTTTCGCAATCCCAGTGGAAAATTATTTGTTGATTTCGCGTTTACTTGTCTATAAGAAGCGCTAAAATAGCGTCGTTATTCTTTTCCGGTAATTTATAGTGTGTTGAAATGCTCGAAACTAATAAAATATAATGGTTTAGCACTTAATAATTTTGATTTTCTCCCTTCTTTTCTGAAAGTTTTGATGAGTTTTTATCCAAATTTTATTGACTATCTCCTCTAACGTTTACATCGCGATTTGACGTCAAGATTATTGATTTTCTTTTGTATATTGATATTCTGGCTATATTCGGTATCTTTTTCTTTCTCAACACACATCCTACTAGATACTTAATACTTGTTTCAAATATACTGACTTATGTGACTGGAGATTCTCGTGCAATACAATAAAAAGGATATCCATTGTAGTTTTCTGTATTGTATTCAACCCGCCTGATCTATTGATCTCCGTTATCCACAGTCTAGCCGAATAAATTATTACGGACTCTCTTTCGAAATTTTGATTAAATTGTTACTACTTGTTACTTACCCAAGAGAATAAAATTATATTCTTACCAGCAAAAAATCGAACATTTTTAACGTTAAATTAGGAAGTGGTTCACGTAGATTTTTTTTCATGGAGTGGCTTATGTAAGCTTATAAAAAAATTCAAGTCCTTTTTATATCGCTTTAAATTAGTTTCAAGTCTTGACTAATTTATGGGGACATAAAAAGGTCGCTATCTGTCTTCGGTGTTGCTTTTTTAAAACATAAAAGCGTTACCCAAATCGCCATTAATATTAGGGTGTTTTCTTGGGGAGGATTAAAAACGAAAAAAACATGAAATTAATTTTTCTATAGGATAATATTTTTGCTCGAATTTTCTTTGTAAACGAAATATTCGTTATGTAAGGATGAGGCGGTTTTGGAGGATTGTGAAATAGGCGAATTTCTGCGGATTTTCCACATTCACATCGATAGAAAAGCGCTTCAATTTTTTATCAATCTCCTGATGGAAATATTTCGTCATTCATGCGAGCTTACGTTATTTACAAAATCAATACAGAAATTGACTTCGTGCTCGATTAAAATTGCGTTTTTATCCCTACAGGTAATTTAAAAACTAATTAATTTAGCCACTCTACGGGTGATACCTATACTAAAACAACTATTGCAGCGAGTAACTAACTCGTTTCGAAAGCGTTCTATCTTACTTTTATCGTAACCACACACCCACTCATCTATTATTTTTACCAATAAACCACCGACTATTTTCCCATAAAAAGATCATTGAAAGGTAACCACACCGCGCGCCCCGTCAACGAAAACTCGAGGAAAACAATCCCGCAAAACTACCAAGAGCGAAAATAGGACCAGAACAGATTGCATGGAAGGACTAAAAGAGTTGTGAAGAGAGAGATGATCGCCGTCGAACCGAACAGGTACGATCGCAAAGCGAAACTGAAAACTGAAAGAGCGAGCGAAACCTGAATCGCGGAGCAGGATAACGCGAGTTGAAGGGCACTTAAAACGCTCAAACCGGCATATTGTTATTCAATTACCTACGGACGATAGAATTGTCTCCTAAAACGGACTCGCACTCTTCGTTAATTTTACATTTAAGCGGAATTGGGTAGGTGAGATTAGGACAATTTTTTAAGGGTCGATTCGAGCCTTTATCAATTTTATTAAATAAAATAGTGATTTGTAATATATTGGCAGGGTAGTGATTGGTTTATCAGGAAACGAAATAAAAAGAATATGTGCCATTTATACTTCATAAAGAAACAGTAATTTAATTTTTTATCTAAAGAACCACTTGCAAAATACCTAATTTCTTTTTCAGTTGTGCTTGCTGGTAAAAAAATCATTGTCTCCTTATTCCACGGCACTTTAATCAGGAAAAGTGTCATATAGACCAGATGATGAATGATTTTCAGGAAATAAAATAAAAAATATACCATTTGTGTTTCATACAATCACAGCAATGATTTAACAGTTCCTTTTCTTTGATCTTAACAACCACCTTACAAAATGTAGCTAAATGCATCTTTTGTTGTGCTGGTTAGTAAAAATCACTGGCCCCTTTTATTCCACGGCGCCGCAATCAGGAAAACTATCATGTAGTCCAGATGATAATGGATCTCCAGGAAATAAAATAAAAAATATACCATTGTACTTCATACACTCAGAGCAATGATTCAAGAGTTCCTTTTCTCTGATCTAAACAACCACCTTACAAAATACCTGAATTCATCTTATGTTGTGCTGGTTAGTAAAAATCACCGACTCTTTATTCCACGGCGCCGCAATCAGTTTTTCCTTTTGTCTTGTTCACCGATGTTTGCGCTTCCTTTTGACCCATTACGTCGATTACACTTCACCTGAGCGCTTCGGTCGGTTTTTTTCGAAACGTTTCAATAAAACGTTTATTGCGCCGTTTCGCAATCCGTTGGACGGTCATTCGGGAAACTTCAACAGCGCCGACGGACAATAGTAATTGCGCGAAAGGCGAAATTTACGGCGAGCGATATGAATTGTAATTCGAAAAAGTTTCGCCGCAATTTCGCCGGCGAATTAGCGAGATTGCTATCTTATGTGTCGGTGAAGCTGATCGAGTTTTTAATTAAATATTATTTTTGCCATCCCCGGAACTTCTTAAGAAGGATTGGATTCTCGATGATCTTGTTAACTTCTTTGGAAGCAATCTCGGAACTTGTAGAGTTTCTAAGAGTGTATGCGTGTAAATAGTAATTGGCCGGTCATAATCAGCTTGACCATAAAGTAACCGTTATTGTCTACTCAAATAACCGTTTCGTAAGTGATTATCGATTTATTAGTCATTATGCATTTGTAATTGATTGATTACAAACCATAATGATCGGACATTGCCTCTGTAATGTAGTTTTCTACCAACCTACACGTTTACAATGATATTAATTGCATGTAAATTAATTTCGCCATGTAACCTGGTAGGTATAGGTATGTACATGGTCGAATGAAAATTTTTGGCGTTGGAAATTCCTATAGATAATTAATCCTTTGCAAGACATCACAATAACATCACATTATCCATATTCTAAACTTATGGAATTCTAATTTTATTGTACGCTATAATCGAAACTTAGTGCCTAATTTCAAATTTAATTTACCATTACAGATGATCTACCGAACAGGTATAGTATGGGGTATTTAATTATAAACAGGGGAGATGCGATTTACGTACGAGATACAAACAGTGAATAAGTAAACAGAATATCTAGAATTCAGGCATTAGTGTTAATCGTGAAATACGTCAGGAAATATTCAACATCTCGCTTGAGAACTTCACGAAGCAACGAAACTGTAATAAAACGTTTAATAAAATAAAAATTCACCTTGATATTTTATTCGCCGACATGCATAATCCAGCTATCTTTTTATGGGACATTAGAAGTGAAAAGTTTTTATTTTAAGTATTTTACGAGTAGTATGCAAAAATTTTATTTAATGTTCCGGAAAAATTATAATAAAATATCAATTATACTCGTCAGTTTGCGTTAATTAACGCTGGAAATAAGTAATTGACGCGAATCCAGAAACGGAACGAGACGTTTCCGCGTCAACTTCGCCGCAAATTTCGCCTTTGCCATCAAAATGAAACGCAAACATTTGTTTTTGAAGTTGGTTAATTTCATCCGCAAACGAAATTTAATTGTAAGAATATATAGCGACACGAATTCCCAGTCTAATAATCGTAAAGATTTTAGTATTTACCTTTCGGAAATTTTTACAGAGAGTACATATTTGGTTTCATTTTTTCGCCAGCTGCTAGCTTGAGGTATCTATTAAAGAATTTGGATCGTTAATCTCCTTTTCGCATTAGGACAGGGAGCATGTGAATCAAAAGCCGGTGTAATCCTATTGGGTCTCGAGTAATTAATATTGTGGATATAGGAGAAGTTTTCCCAGATAAATACAAACGGAGAACTCCGAATTTCGAATATAACATGAAGAATAGCAGTGATTAATTGAAGATTAAAATGAAGGGATCCTGATAGCATTAAAATACTCACACGAAATTGATTTAATAATATTACACATAACTCAATTATAAAAGAAGAAAAAGAAATGGTTCCATGGACCTAAAAAACTAAATACAAAATATTCAATTAATTCCAACGCAAGCTGTATTAGGGATAGAATAAATTAAGATTTGAACTGGTAACTGATGTGTTTCCCGAACATCTTGTTTCCTGTTTGACTAATTGTAAGTCGATGCGAATAAGTTAACAAACTAAGAAAAAGGAGCTCATTACGGTGCTAAGTAGATTCATAAATCAAACGGGGAAAAACGCAGTGTCCAAACGGGATTGCTGGAAGGGAACGATTAATCTTCGGGGAATAATGGTAATATGCGATTCAAGCAGTTCAACCAACAGTCACAATCCGAAGATACTTTAACTGAGCATTGGCGTGGATAATTAAATTTTGCAAATATCGATGTTTTTTTTAACAGAAAAATTGCAATTATTGCAGCTGTAATAATTTACTCCAATTAACTAAAATATATTCATATGTATATAAATATTTGTTTAATTTCATTCAATATTTGTAAAAGCTGGGTATTTAATTTATCGGGAATTATCAGTTAAATTGTTGATTTACTAATGAACATTCAGTATTAATTTAATTAGGTATATTACAGAGAAAATACTCAAAAATTAGTTTTATTTAGGGATATCTTGGGTACCTACATCTTAATGTGTATCCTTTTTTGGATACGCCCCTGCAATAACTGAAGTTTGTGGATTTAGAGCAAAAAATTGAACCGGAGATTTGTAGTGATGTTGACCGAAAGAAGTTAAATGCTTAGAAACACCGCCAGGATTCTTGCATTTTTTATGGTTGTCTCGAAAGTTTACTTTGTGTCGAGTTCAAAGCACAAATTTTGGAAAATAAAACTTTACGAATAGAACTTTCCAATGACACAGCACAACTGAAATCGCACTTTTTTATACATTTTATAAAAATACAAACTACTTACAAACACACTGTACAGGATTACTAAAGAAAAACACATATTGTTTTACAAAAATTAAAATTCGCATATTTTCCTCTGCCCGAAAACTGCGAAAAAAACACCCACCTTTAATATGTATGAATGTATTGCCATCTCCATTACCGATAAGAACTCGAGAAGTTTCGAGCGTAACAAGATAGGAAATTCCCAAAGAAAAACGGAAAAAATTTGCATAAAGAGTAATCGCAACAGAACTGCAAAGTGGAAATTCAACTTTCTCGGGCTGATGTCGAGTGTGAAATTTAATCCCCGAAGAGCATTTATCTTACTCAACACATAATAAATGCGGAAAACTGGGTAGTAAGGTTCATTTATTCTACTGCCATAACGAGTATACTATAAACTATTGTGTAGTTAATTTCCATTTAGGATAATGTAGATAATGATATGAAATATAACACTATTAATAATATTTAATAGCCCTTTTTGTCCCCTCTTTAGAATGAAAGTTTAACAGGAATATTTTTTTTAAATTGAATTATTTCTGTTGTGATAACATAATGAGCAATCGACCTAATTCATGAAGTGTTGGGCTAATGTTACCTTTAATTTTCACAAGTTAATTAAATTGCATCGCTGTGATTTCATTAAATTTGCTACCATTTGTTTCTAGTGCAAAATTCCCATGTAACAAATGCAAATGTACATCTCTGACACGTTAATCTCGACTCTCGCAGGCAAACATACAATTTGATTATTGCCATTTTCTCATCTCTAACTGGCTCTTTTTGGATAAAACTTCGGTTTACCGAACGGGGAATATGAAACGTTGTTAGGTCGTAAATTTTAAAAATCTTATGTCTCGATACAACTGCGGATAAATCATACATAATGTATGAAGTCGGTTAAATTATGGAGATGTATTTCTCAAAACAAGTCGATATTGAACTATCTTGTATGTATGTATTCTAAAGACGTACCTCTACGTCTTCAAGTTTATTAGATAAAGATATTAGGAAAACGTTATGTATTTAATCTAAAGAAAGAAAGGGTGATAATTAGAATTATATGCCCTTATGACCTTTAGTGTTTTCAAATGACTCTCGACGGAAAATTTGCCTAAGCACGCCTATTTGAGTTTTATATTTGCGTCGATCAAAATTTCTGACAGTCAAAATACTTGATATTTAATCGAAAAAACGTCAATCATGAATTTCAAAATCACCAGTGAATTATAATCTCGCGAATATGTCCGACAAACAATTATTATACACGCGTTTGTGCAAACCATGCGGTCAATTCAAGAAGATTTTAGTGTGGGCGAATGGTGATCATCAATGTTATGTATTTAATATTAACACTGATAAATCGAAAAATTGGTCTGTGTTTCTGAAAGAGGTGTCAGAGACGATTCTACCGCATTTCGGAGCCATCATCAAATTGGTAGAATTGAAGACCAGAAAAGTGGTCAACACGTTCGAGGAGCTCGTGCCCAATAAGAAATACGTCGGTCTTGGTGCTAATTGTACTTGCATAAAAGAACCATTGTGTGGTTACAAAACGATCGAAGGTAATTTAATGGTTACGTAACAAATAAAACTGATAAATCAAACGGGAAAATTCGGTTTTAGATCTAAAAAAAATCGCTCAACGCAAGAGCAAAAAGCAGGTTCCCCCGAGAGGGGTGAAAGTGAACGAGAGTAAGAGATTTTTGAAGGAAACAAAAAAACTAAAAAACACCGTCATATATCTCATGGTGAACGGCAACAATGACATTACCCAAAAAGCCGTTTTCAAGCACAATGAAATCGAACAGTACGACGTAGTGTGCACGTACTTAGCGAATATTTTGCGAATCTCCCAGGGTATTCAGTACATTTACACAACCACGGGTACCCCTTTGAAAGATTCCAAGCAATTTAGGCACGGATCCCTATACGTTGCAGTACCATTCGGGGAAACTTTCATCAATATGAATTACATTGAATTGTTCAAAGAAAAGTACCCATTTTTAAACAGGAATAAGGTAAAACTAGATTTAAGACATAGCTGATTGATGAAATAGTAGTAAACATTTTGAATTTTATAAAACCAATTGATATACACTTCTAGACTCCTCTCAAGATTTCGTCGCGTTACAGTTACATAATTGTCAAGCGTAAAAAGTCTAAAGAAAAAGAAAAAGAATTTAAGAGTATCGGAACAACTTCACATAACACTGTTCAATTGCAGATACCAGGATTAACGACTGTAAGTGTTTTAGAGAAGTTTATATTGATCTTATAGTTTAAATTTTATTGCGCTTTAAAGCAAGCCCAGCAGATGCGGAAAGTGGTGAATGCCGAGAATGATGTATTCGTGAAAAAAGAAGAGGATGCTTCTTCGGCTCAAGTCACTACCGAAACTGTCGATTCTAATCTATTAAGCAATGCAAAGTTGTGTACATTCGAATCGGTAAGTTTAAACAATTTTATGGTAGCTTAAAAATCTATTCTAATACAATAAAAAAACTTTAATTTAAGCTTGCCCTGCAGAATAAATCTGATATGACTAACAATAAGGAAGTCAAAGATTCGACTTTGTATGGCAAAAACTGCCGCTCGGAATGCATTCACTTCGCTTTGCACCCTGCAAAGAAAATTCCCACTCGATTCAGTTACACTGCAGCTTGTAAAGTAATTAATCCAAACATCAAAGAAAAACGATTTTCTAACCTTAATTTTTCTTCAGACGTTCAGACAAAAATTTTTCGAATATGATAACCAACCGAATCTAATAGATCACAACAATAATGAAATAATCAAGGAAAACGCGGATATACAAGAACTGGAACTAAATAGTTCAGTATCTAATCAGGTAAGTGTTTCCATTATAATACAAACAAAATTAAAACCGATGACTTTTTCAGGTATCTTCAAGTACATTAAAAACGGAAAGCAACTCAAAATCATTGAAAATGTACCAATACATCCAATCTTTGACCAACAATGACACTGAGCAAACTCCAGAAATGGATGATTACTTCAATGCATTATTAGAAAAAGTTATAGCAATATCCGAACAAAAAGAAAACAAGGCTGAATTTGATTCTGCTCAAGAAATTGCTAACGAAACTGACAGTGTACCCAAACTGTCTGTAGAAATTAATCTACTTCCCAATGAGGGACAAAATGCGCTAAATAGAAAATCCCCTAATAAAATGAGCGTAACGATAACATTTCAACCATCAATGGAATCCGTTATCAAATCAAAGCCAGAAATAAATATGAATGGAGATACCATTTGCAACCAAAACTTAAATTCTAACAGAAACATTAAATTGCTGATAAATAATATAATAGAAGGTGTTAAAAAAGCGATTACCAACAATGATACAGATACAATCGATGGACGTGCAGAAGAAACATCACCACAAAATTCAGTTAAAGCACTACCGAATACCGATGAAAAACCTGTAATTCATACTTTAAAACCAGAGGAAATGAACAAAATTGTGGACATAGTTAAAAAATCAATAGTTAAAGAAGAAAATTCTACAATTAAATTCTACTTTGAATCGAACAATAAAGTAGACAAATCTTCTAATGAATCATGCAAAGAAAACCACCCAACGAAAAGTAAATACAATTACGAGGCGAATAACACTGAAATTTGTGAAAAAGGGTTGTCATTGCGCAGTAAAACTGCCATTGATTCGAGTAAAACCGAATTATCAGATGAAAAAAAATCCAAAAGGGAAATAGATAACGATGTGAAAATATTGTTAGAACCGTTAAAAATTTCCGAGACAAGCATCGACCATAGTCAATTTTCCACTACTGAAGCTAGTTTACCGGTAAAAGCTTCTACATCACAAACCGCCCAGGCCGACTTTAAATTAATAAACTTCTCTGTAATTATAGATGTAAGTAAACAATTGCACGGTCAAGAACCGAAGCATAATGAAGATGTTGGAGAGATAACTAAGAAAGTTTACCGAACCTCAATTACCAAAGATGTTAAACAAAGAACCGCATTTAAATTAAATAGAAAGAAGCCGATTAAAAATAGGGACAAAAAGAGTGAAAGCTCTATATCTAGTATAATAAGCGTAGTGGATTCGACGTCAGAAAGATCAGTAAGTGTATTATCCAGCCAGATAATTCTTAACGGTGTTGAACAAAGAATATCGTCGTCATCGTACACTCCAACTTATTGTCAACAAAGCTCAGCTTTATTACTTTCAAGTAACCAATCATTAAATTCGTATAAAATCAAACCAAGATTGCCAAAAGGAAATGTTGAACAAAGAACCGTTCCTGGTTTACAGTCCAACGAAATTGAAGATGTTGAACAAAAAATTCATAATATGGACTACATGCTACGGACTGTAGAGCAAGAATCGAGCAAACATTCATCAGACCATACTGACAGTGAGCAAACAATAAATAATAGTGAATCTAAAGAAGTTGAACAAAAATCTGAGGAATACTTATTAGATCGAGCTGATAGTAATCAAAATATAAATAAAAGACAATCTAGAGATGACGTTGAACAAGTTTACTCTAAATCTGAAACTGAAACAAATATTGCAGATGTAGAACAGGTAAACAATCAAATTATCCACTAATCTTTAGTATACCCTAACCTGTGAATTCATTCTTCAGCAATTACGACTGGATGATGTTGAACAGAGAACTCCATCTGCATCAGATAATGATACAAATACTGCAAAGAGAAGTACATTTTTAACCAAGACTTCTGAATCAAATTTGGATTTACCTAAGGAAAGGGCCAACTTAAATAATGTTACTAAAAATAAACGAGAAACCTTTGAAGATGTTGAACAAGAAACTTTGAAAGGTGTTCAACAAGAAACTTTGGAAGATGTTGAACAAGAAACTTTGGAAGATGTTGAACAAGAAACTTTGGAAGATGTTGAACAAGAAACTTTGGAAGATGTTGAACTAAAAATTAATATATCTAAATCACAATTAAACCAACTTGAATCCAGTCAAACTAGAGTTGAAAACGATGTTGAACAAGAAACTTTGGAAGATGTTGAACTAAAAATTAATATATCTAAATCACAATTAAACCAACTTAAATCCAGCCAAACTAGAGTTGAAAACGATGTTGAACAAGAACATTTGGAAGATGTTGAACTAAAAATTAATACATCTAAATCACAATTAAACCAACTTGAATCCAGCCAAACTAGAGTTGAAAACGATGTTGAACAAGAAACTTTGGAAGATGTTGAACTAAAAATTAGTACATCTAAATCACAATTAAACCAACTTGAATCCAGCCAAACTAGAGTTGAAAACGATGTTGAACAAGAACATTTGGAAGATGAACAACAATTTATTTTTTTTAAATCGAAATCGAACCTACCTGAAATTAAACAAACTACCATAGGAAAAGGTGTTGAACAAAAACCTTCGGAAGATGTTGAACTAGCAATTAATAATTCTGAAACCAAATCAAATGTACTTCAATTTAAACAACCTAACATAGAAAAAGATGTTAAACAGATTAATATTTTGGAAGATGTTGAACAGAAAACTTCATCTGCAACATTAATTAACATGTACACTACGAATAGAAGCGCATTCTTAGCAAATCCTTCTGAATTAAATTTTGTACCACGAATGAAAAATAGTGAAATCAATTGTAATTCATACTCTCAAAGTCTACCTGCATTTAAACAATCTACTAGAAAAAAAAATGTTGAACAGGAACCTATAGAAGATGTTGAAGATGAAATTTCATTTATATTAGAAAACGATATTAACATTAAACAAGAATCAAAATCTACCAATCAATTATACGAAAAATGCAGTTATAAAACGCTTTCACATGGATTTAAAGAGCGAACCAAACAAAGAGATGTTGAACAGGAATTAAACAAGAAATTGTCACAAAAAACAGGTAATGAAAATATGTGTGAACAGTTGGTAAAATTAAAATGCACAAATATTAATAAGATATATTCGGAAGATGTTGAACAATTAAGTTTTAACCAAACTGACGCAAATGCACAAGTTTTATTAGACCATTGTCCGCAAACTTGTAAGATAGATGTTCCACCGGAATCAACGATATCCCTCACGAATACCGAAATAATTCCCTTTGATAGTGAAACGAGCATTAACCAGGGTGCTGAAGAACAAGTGACGCGCAGCTTTACCGAACATACAGAAATATCTACACCGAGTAACATCCAAAGTTCTATTAAAAGCGGCACGAGTATACTAGATATGAGCTGTGAAAAAACAGTTTCATTAACTCATACACCTGCATTAACTAAAGCTTCAATAACTATTTCTTCGACCAAGCCATTATCACTAAAACTCAATCAGTCAGATAAACAAGCTAGTACAAGTTTTAATAATGGCACACACAATTATGAAATTGACGATTGCAATATGCATTCATTAGCTCGAACAACCAGTGTTTCTTTGGAAACCATTACCGGTGATGGATCATCGATTTGGAACGTGGAAAACTCGGAAAACTCGGAAAACTATGTAAATCTTAAAGATGAACAAATATTAAAATCAGATGTTACCTCTTCATCGTGTAGCACCAATTCGTTAAAAAGTAGTACGATTTTTTCTAATTTATCAATTGAAAAACATCAATCGAGTTTAGCCTCTGTGTCTAGTTTTCATGATGAGGAATATTCAACTAGTGAAGTGGAATCTACAATACCTAAAAGTAATAAGTCTACTAATCATACTAACAATGAATTTACTAAGGCACCTCATTATGCAAATTTAGAAATAAATCATTCATTGAACACACTAAACCTGTTATCACAGATTCCTGATTATCATAATAACGGGAGTGTTTCGTTGAATAATTTACGAAATCGTTGCGAATTTTCATCAAATCTCGATTTAGTATCCAATGAAAATTGCCGTATAACTAGAACAATATCTTTAAGAAACGTTGAACAAGAACCGTACACGAATCTTGGACACCAATTATTTACGGGAGATGTTGGACAAGAATCAATGAATACAACCTACTCATTAACAGGTTTTATTCAAAATGACATCATGGAAAAGGATTTTGAACAGGTTCTAGAAGCAAAAACAGACTGCTTGAATAATTTGCAAAATTCGTTTAGCAGTATAGAACAATTAATGGAAGATGTTGAACGAAAAACTCTATCATTGCCAAACATAAAGCATTCAATTCAACCTGCAACAGAGAATCAACAAGAATTATTGGAAGATGTTGAACAAAAAACGCTATCCTCTCGTAATTTAAAACAGTCAATTGAACCTACACCAAAAAATCAACAAGAATTATTGAAGGATGTCAAAAAAAAAACTCCGTCTGTAGCTAATACAATTAATTCGTTGGTAAAAAGTCAAAAAGAATTATTGGAAGATGTTGAACATAAACAAGAATACAAAAAATCTCCTATGAGTATATATCAACAAAACTTTACGGCAGCCAAAGAATTTGAAGCAAATATGACCGAAGCTTCATATCCTTTCATAATGCAATTATCTAAAAAGGAAGATGTTGAACAAAAATACAAATCACTTATTAATTTGAAACAACAAAATTTTAACAGTGCAAAGGAATATGGTGCAACTACGGCAGCATCATATCCGTGCATAAAGCAATTACCTAATGTAGATGTTGAACAGAAGACTTATTCTCTATCAAAAATTTCAAAAGAGGCTGCTACATATTCACTTTCGGATATTTATACACAGAAATTTAGTATGGAAGATGTTGAACAAGCAGTTAATTCTGTCAGTGTAGAACAATATTTTGAAGAATTGGAAAAACTGTCGACCAATAGTGCAATTTTGAATGAACGCATGCAGCAATTGCCTTTGGAAGATGTTGAACAGCAAACGAATTCTCTAACACGAGTAAAAGAAAAAAACCTGAAAAATTCAAGAGCGTCCAGTAACGAAAAATTAAATTGTACAACACCGTTACTTTTGGAAGATGTTGAACAAATAATTCAAAACACAGAAAAACATACTGCTATTGCCGAGATTAATTCATGTGTGGGACAAATTCCTACAGAAGATGTTGAACCTATTAAAAAAGTAGCAAAATTCTATTACAATCATGTGGAAGATATTGAACAAAAATATAAATCACTTATCTGTTTGCAACAACAAAATTTTAAGACTGCAAAGGAATATGGCGCAACTACGGTAGCATCATATCCGTGTTTACAGCAATTACCTAGTGTGGAAGATGTTGAACAAAAGTCTCATTCTCTATCAAGAATTTCAAAAGAAGCTGCTGAATATGCACTTTCGGATACTTATACACAGAAATTAACTATGGAAGATGTTGAACAAGCAGTTAATTCTGTCAGTGTAGAAAAATATTTTGAAGAATTGGAAAAATTGACAACCAATAGTGAAAATTTGAATCTACGTACGCAGCATTTATCTTTGGAAGGTGTTGAACAACAAACGAGCTCTACATCGCGAGTAAACGATAATAATCTGAAAAATACAGGAGCATTCAGTAAGGAAAAATTGAATTGTACACAACCGTTACTTTTGGAAGATGTTGAACAAGTAATTCAAAACGTAGAAAAAAACACAACCATTACTGATACTAAATCATGTGTGGGACAAGTTCCTACAGAAGATGGTGAACCTATAAAGAAAGTAGCAAAATTCTATTACAATTATTTGGAAGATGTTGAACATAAATCCAAATCACTGATCAATTTGCAACAACAAAATTTTAAGACTGCAAAGGAATATGGTGCAAGTACGGCATTATCATATCCGTGCATAAAGCAATTACCTAATGTTGAAAATGTTGAACAAAAGTCTCATTCTCAATCAAGAATTTCAAAAGAGGCTGATGCATTTGCTCATACAGATATTTATACGCATAAATTAACTGTGGAAGATGTTGAACAAGCAGTTAATTCTGTCAATGTAGAACAATATTTTGAAGAATTGGAAAAATTAACGACCAATAGTGAAATTTTGAATCTACGTACGCCGCAATTGCCTCTGGAATGTGTTATACAACAAACGAACTCTCTATTACAAGTAAACGACAAATTAAATTGTGCACAACCGTTACTTTTGGAAGATGTTGAACAAGTAATTCAAAACGCAGAAAAAAACACAACCATTACTGATATTAATTCATGTGTGGGACAAATTTCTACAGAAGATTTTAAACCTATAAAAAAAGTAGCCAAATTCTATTACAATCATGTGGAAGATATTCAACAAAAATATAAACCACTTATCTGTTTGCAACAACAAAATTTTAAGACTGCAAACGAATATGGCACAACTACGGCAGCATCAGATCCGTGCTTACAGCAATTACCTAGTGTGGAAGATGTTGAACAAAAATCTCATTCTCTATCAAAAATTTCAAAAGAAGCTGCTGCATATGCACTTTCGGATACTTATACGCAGAAATTAACTATGGAAGATGTTGAACAAGCAGTTAATTCTGTCAGTGTAGAAAAATATTTTGAAGAATTGGAAAAATTGACAACCAATAGTGAAATTTTGAATCTACATAAGCAGCAATTGTCTTTGGAAGGTGTAGAACAACAAACGAACTCTCTATCACGAGTAAAAGAAAATAATCTGAAAAATACAGGAGCATTCAGTAACGAAAAATTGAATTGTACACAACCGTTACTTTTGGAAGATGTTGAACAAGTAATTCAAAACGCAGAAAAAAACACAACCATTACTGATATTTATTCATGTGTGGGACAAATTCCTTCAGTAGATGGTGAACCTATAAAAAAAGTAGCAAAATTCTATTACAATTATTTGGAAGATGTCGAACATAAATACAAATCACTTATCAGTTTGCAACAACAAAATTTTAACACTGCAAAGGAATATGGTGCAACTACGGCAGCATCATATCCGTGTTTACAGCAATTACCTAGTGTGGAAGATATTGAACAAAAGTCTCATTATCAATCAAGAATTTCAAAAGAGGCTGCTGCATATGCCCATTCAGATATTTATACACAGAAATTAACTGTGGAAGATGTTGAACAAGCAGTTAATTCTATCAATGTGGAACAATGTTTTGAAAAATTGGAAAAATTGACAACCTGTAGTGAAATTTTAAATCTACGTACGCAGCAATTGCCTCTGGAAGATGTTATACAACAAACGAACTCTCTCACACAAATAAACGAAAAATTGAGTAACGAAAAATTGAATTGTGCACAACAAAATTTTAACACTGCAAAGGAATATGGTGCAACTCCGGCAGCATCATATCCGTGCATAAAGCAATTACCTAATCTAGATGTTGAACAGAAGACTCATTCTCTATCAAAAATTTCAAAAGAGGCTGCTACATATTCACTTTCGGATATTTATACACAGAAATTTAGTATGGAAGATGTTGAACAAGCAGTTAATTCTGTCAGTGTAGAACAATATTTTGAAGAATTGGAAAAACTGACGACCAATAGCGCAATTTTGAATGAACGCATGCAGCAATTGCCTTTGGAATATGTTGAACAGCAAACGAATTCTCTAACACGAGTAAAAGGAAAGAACCTAAAAAATTCAAAAGCGTTCAGTAAATTGAATTGTACACAACCCTTACTTTTGAAAGATGTTGAACAAGTAATTCAAAACGCTGAAAAACACACAGCTATTTCTGAGATTAATTCATGTGTGGGACAAATTGCAACAGAAGATGTTGAACCAATAAAAAATGTAGCAAAAATTAATTACAATTTGGAAGATGTTGAACATAAATACAAATGCAAATCTCTCTCGAGTATTCAAAATACCTCAAATAAACATATAGCAAATAATGTAACATCATATCAGTGCATACCGCAATTGTCTTATAAGGAAGATGTTGAAGAGGAATCACCGAGACCTTCTGCAATTATGCATAATGAAGACGAGAATCATCTATTAAATTTTGCGGTGCAAAATGTACCCAAGTCGACAAACAGTTTTCAATCTTCAACAATAGAAGAAAATAGCGATAGTGAAGCTACAAATTTACAATCGATTACAAAGGACGATTCTGAAACGATATTATCTGAGTTTCTGAAAAATCAATTACTAATAAAATTGAACGATGGAAGTATTTTTCCCAGCCAGCAAAATATTCAAAAACATCTAATCAATAACAACAACAACAACGTAGATGGAAATAATAATGTTGATCAATTAGAAAGCGCTAATTTATAAAATTATGAAAATTTGATAATCTATGTTATGTTGTCGAACGGCCAATCGGGCTTGTTAATTTCGTTATAAAGTATATTGGTGTAATAAACGAGTTAGTATAAAATAAAATTTATTTCTTTTTATATTTCACGATATTAGCTTGCAAGCAATTTCGGCGTCTCGACGCGGCGTAACCGACGTCGATGCCCCTAGCAGACGTCGAAATCAAAACATGAGCGTCTCGATTCTCTTAAAAAAATTACTCCGATATTTTCAAAGACAACGTAAAATATTCAGTGATGGTAAGAATGTCCGTAACACGTATCAGAAAGCATCCCCATGACATTTTTCCTCTACCAGGAAACCTTTAAGGGTTTTTAGGATCGATGAAATATTCTTTAGTAGCAGGTAAGTTATGTAACAGTATACTCCAGGCATCGTAAGGTCCAAATCGAAAAAATTCAAATTATATTGATAGGCGGAAAGTCGAGCGAAACGAATCCAGGAATCTTCCCCAATTTTAGACAGTTTCTTTACAGTTTTCCAAAGAGATATTTCGATCAAGACGAAACTCGTGCGCATCGATTGAACGGAATGTTTGTTGTGCCTGCGAGCTTGCACGAGCAGAGCTTTGTATTTTCATTGACCAGGAAATCGAATAGACGATTTAGGAAACTAGAAAATTCGAAAAGAAAGGATGAAAAGAACTATATCGTGCGTATTGCGGCGACCGGTAGCTTCGGGCGCCGTTGTGGTGTAACTTTCAGCTACCGTTACCCTGGAGACGCTTTCACTCTGATAACTCGGGCTTCCCCGTTGAGAAATACGTGTAAATTTTTTAAGAAAACGTAGGCATTTTTAAATTATTATCATGAAATAATGTATTTATTTATTTAGGTATTCAAAAATTGCCTCTAAAATGACTATAATAAGTAATGCATTTATAATGTCGTCAAATGTTCTTTTGTAATATTATATTTCTTCTTTATTTTCACTGTATTATTATTGTTAACCAGACTTAAAATCGTTGCATACCTGCATTATAATATTAATTTTACTAGTTAATCATTTTTAAGTGAAACACGGTAAATAAAAAGTTATATCCTCGATAAATTAAGCATTCCAATTTTTGCAGATACTTTTGAACTCATAAATTCATTCTCATTGCCGTTTTTCGGTCGAAACAAATTGGTTAAAACTGATTGTTGACTGCGATGAAAACTCGACATTTTTAAAGTACAATCGAGTCATTCGGGCGCGCTACGCTGGAAATTTCCACGTGTTTTGCGAAATTTCGAACGAACGTTTGATGTGCAAATTTCGTATTTTTGACAATACGTACGAAATTGTAGGTGCACCATTCTATTAGGCGCTATTAATCGAATCCAGCTGGAATCTCCGCACGTTTACAAACTTATTCGTGTATCTCTAATCTAGTAACGCCGCGCTGCATAGCTAAGCATTTGCGGTTTGCGGTGGCTTATAATTAGTCTAATTTAAAAGGCTGTTCTGGAACGCAACGAGTCGGGAACTAAGCCAAATGCGTTTTAGGATTTTTCTCGTTGTGCTGATTTACAACCACATAATTTAGATGATAAATCCGAAGAAAAACAACTTGATAAATGTAATAATTTAGTAGAAAGAAAATCTAATGGAGACGTAAAACATAAGTAAAAGATATAATACGATTTGTGCGAATAATAATATAACTGAGGCGCGATATAAATAATAATTGCAGTAACGGTACGCGTGCGTGAAGTAATCGGGTTCCCATTCGATGAATGTGTTTGCTACAGATATTAAAAACCACATGAGCATGCAAATCCCCAAAGGGAAGCGAATGATTTTGATTAGTTTGCACCTTTTCAGTGAAAGCGTAAGTAGAAAACCGAGTTCCAGGCAACCGCCGACGTATTGGTATATCGGTATCCAGTCGTTGGTAGGACATTGTTCCATGTAAACCACCCCGAAAACTATTTTCAATCCAGCCAATATTACGCTAATTACAATGCAGACTATTTTGAAATCGTTTGTTCCCGATTTCATGGGGTTCGGTTTCTTGGGTACATTGTGAGAAATTTTTCTCCAAGCTCTGTCCACTCGCTCACCCAGTCCCTCCTCACTATCGATCGTGCTCGATTTTTTGTAAGTATCTTCGTCTTCTGTTGTATCATCGTCAGTAGTAGTTATCATATTAATTAACTAAACGAATTAAAAAATTGAAAAATTATTGTCACCTAACCCAAATGATTGTCATAACTGCCCAAAATCTTCTTTTTCTATACGCAACATCAATATCTATTTATTTAGTAAAACGAAGCTCGAGGCAAACAAGATTCATCCTGTTGTAAATTGCAAAAAGTTTTTTCTATTTTCAAACAAACTCAACGTCGTTTTATTAATTCTAGGCATCAGCAGCACCTTCGTTTTCCGTCTTGTTTCCCAATGCCTTGGAGCGTCGGCACTAAAAGTAGGTCAAGAAGAAATCGGAGCTTCTCAAGATGGATGATCTCAGCGATGTGTAAAAGTAGGATGAACGGCAAGGTGCAGGAAATTGTGCCTGATATTTAACGCGAGATAGATAACCCCAATGTTTCGAATTTTACAACAAATCCACGCTTTACCAACCACTGGTAATTTTTCACGTCCACTAAGTGATATTTCTAATTATTCTACATTGAGTTTCAACTGTTAGGAAGCTCGTAAACGCAGTTTCCAACATTGAAATTCATTCATGTCCTCGAACTCGTACAAAACGTAACAACGCCCGCGAAAGTAAGGGAAAACATGATAGGCGTTTTCCGTAATTTACAATACAAAGGAATACTCCTCGACATAACGGTAATATTAAAACACATCAACATGGCTCATCATGCAAATTACCAGCGTCGGAACGTCTTTTGTACACAATCTTCGACGAATCCTGCCCGACATCGTCGGATTTACATCGATTTTACAACAATATTTGCCGGGAAAATTGACTGTTAAGTTTGGTATTCAAATTCGGGGTTCCATTCTCTATCGACTGACAACTCGACTATTTTGTATAGACGAGTGGTAACATCAAGATTCGGAATTTTTAATTTATTCAATTATGTATTGTATTCATCCGAAATTGTGCCAATACAACAAAATCTAATATTCATGAATTTTCTCTTAACTATATTTATGTACTTCATCGACCGATCGTGAATATCAAAATAAGCGTGGAATCCTAGCTTGGAAATAAATTCAACGCAGATTTAATGTCGGTCCATACGTTCCAGATTTAATTTGATTCGAACTGAACGGGTAACAATGGATATAGAAGGATTAGGGAAGTGGCTTTCGTCGAGAGAATGTTTTCGACGTTTTCAAATGGCGTCGGAAAATGTTTTCGCCCGAAAATGCATAATACATAAAAATTACGCACATCGATTTTAACCAGATAGGCTATCGACGCGGTGTAGATAAAATCGCACTTAAAGGAAATGTTCTTTTTATACCCGTCGCATTTCGTTCATGCGAATTGAAGGTCGGCGTCAATCCTTTTTTTCTCTTCTTCGATATATTCCCGGAGGGTCGTCGAAATACTCCGG